CCTGGAGGGGCTGGATCTGATGGGACAATGGCTATGCTGGATCGACTACAGTCAGATTTGATCGACTGGCTTGATGGAGAAAAGCTATTCGATATGCACAATTGCACATGTATATGTATGCACATGCCCGCAACTAAAATAAAAAATAAAATAAACCCGACCAACCGACCCTGGTACAGATGAGTGAAGTGACCCGAAACAACGAATTAATTCTAGGTGTCCTTACAAAATTTTAAAATATTTATTATGTTCTTGGCATGTAAGTATATGTTATCGCATGGTTGCAAGGGCCTTATGGCATATTATTGCCCCGAGAGGTTAGCCCGAGGGCCGTAGCCCCAAGGGCTAACCTCGAGGGGCAATAATATGCCATAAGGCCCGCAGCAACCATGCGATAACAAATTTATCACATGGCCCACAGAGCAGACCATTGGGCTGCTGTTGAAATTAGCCCAAATGCCAACATATTATGACCACAATGTATATTGATGTGCTATCATTATCAAAACAGGAAAAATGAAGATATTTCTCCTACACCCTAACAAAAAGTCTTTTACAGGCCATCAGAGAGTATACAGTACTGAAAGACGGAGACAGAAAAAAGTGCCGGCACCGCATCGTCATAGCAATAGACATGGCAACGACAATAAAATACAGCAGAATCATAATTTCAATTGAAAAATTAAGAGTGCTACCACAACGAGTTTCTTCATGTTTACATGTGTATCAGGAAGTTGTCAAATACAGTACTGCAACAAGTGCAAGTATTTGACGACTCCCGGGTGTGTAATTCTGAGGACAATTTTTCTTCTTTTTTCAGCTCCAGATAGCTGTATTTTTCATTGCAAAACATTCCTGAATTGTTGTGTTGTTGTTCAAGCAAAGGTGAGATGAGCCTGAGAAGAGCTTTGCGTGGCACATGAAGACCACACACAGGCAGTGACTTTGCGAGGATTTGAAAACGCACGACGCTGAGTTGAATTTGTGTTATTTCAAATAATTGTTTGTGATCACAGTACCACTTCGAGCAGAACTGAATCTTATCCACAAGCTTACCGACGGTCAGGCTGCCAACATGACTGAACAAATGATCCCTGCAAGCACCACACGGCAGACGTCCGAGGCCATGTCCATTGCCGGGATGTCCATCTCCAAAAAGAATTCCATCTTCGTCTCAATGCTACACTGCGACTCGTCGTAGAGTCGTACAGACTCTACAGAGTCGTCGTACGAGCGTAGTCACGCGATCACTGAATAAACTATTTTTTTGCGGGCAAATAAACTATTTTTTTGCGGGCAATATCGCATATTATTGCCCGCGGCGCGAAAGGTGCTGATTCGCTGGAGTACGGGCAACAATCACGTGCCATGTGATAATGCTGTATTACAGGTGGAGTCCTGATAATTCGAATATGGCTTAAAGTTACGCTACTAGTATACTGTCCACTAACACCACCAGTTACTACATTTTCAACAATCAGCTCTTGCAATGTGATAATGATAACAGCAATACAGCTTTTGCTGTTCGTAATACACCTTATTTACTACGACATACATAGCTCATTATCCTCATGTCCTTTGCGTCTCTGTGTTTTTCACTGTTTTTATTTGACATTATCTTTCTTGATAAATATGGTGGTAAAGACACACCTGGCAATATGGCGGTAAACACACGCCCACACACGCTCTCTAGGCTGCAAAGTTCTGGCACAGAGCTCTCCTGCCAGGTGTGTCTTTACCACCATATTTATCAACCATAAGTACAGCTGCAGTGGTGTCTTCAACTTCATTCTCCCGAGTCAAGCTCCGTATGAAGACATCCAAGAAGAAGATTGCCTGATGAGTCCAGCGGGGACGAAACGTGTACGTCGCAATCGAGCTATGTCGTTGCTGTGTCATCATCTACATGTATGTGCCATGCGCTACTTGATGTACCAGCCTGCTATGCCGGATACCGCCAGCCATGCATCGACCAGGCGCCAGGCGCAAACTGATGGTGGTGGTGGTGAGAAGGAGAGCTCTGTGCCTGAACTTTGCAGCCTAGAGAGCGTGTGTGGGCAGGCGTGTGTTTACCGCCATATTGCCAGGTGTGTCTTTACCACCATATTTATCAACCATAAGTACAGCTGCAGTGGTGTCTTCAACTTCATTATCTTTCTTTACGGAGTTGTTGTTGCTGTTCGTTTTGCACGGTGACCAGGCGACTGGTGTACGCATGAGCGCGTGACCGCTTACTCACCCGTGCTCGATTGGGAATAAGAGCCGAACGCTGCATCGCAGCCTTTTCGGACCAAAGCCAGTCGACTCAGCGTCCAAAAGACTACAACATATGGACCAATCGCGGTCATCCGTGCTTTTATAAGAACGAAACGGCGCTTTTAGTGACATTTGCATACAAATCCCCTTCTACTACACTGTAGGGCGCAGTCACGCAGTTTCGGTGGAAGTGCGCAAGTTCGATTGGGTATATAGGAGTTGTTGTTGTTGTTACTTTATTTTACTTCGAGTAACTAAGGCCAGTAAGGGAGCGTCTCAGAGTAGACCATTCTACTCAGCACTCCGAAGACTACAACTGGTGAAAGATTGATTGCAGGATACTTCCCCTTTAATCTTCAGCCAGCATCGTAAGGTTATGCCGACCGTCTGGTCTCAGAAGTTCTTTTATGCCGGGCCATATTTAAGTTAGACATATAGATTCGAAGATTATGCCAGAAATTATGGCAGCATAATCCATTGTAATCCGCCAAGGGCTAATGCTAGCTGTGATTTGTGTCAGACTGTCAGTAGGTCTAACTCTAACTTAGTCTAAGTAGAAATCTACGTAGATATCAACATGTAGATCCACAATAATAGAGTAGATCGACCAGGGCAGGGGGGGGGGGGGGCAGGGAAAGAGGGCTTGAAAGTGCTACGTCACAGCATAGCAACAATTTCAAAAATTCAAAAATTGGATCCACTTGGATCCAATTTTTGTATGGATCCAAGCACATTTCAAGCCGTCTTACTCTCAGCAAGGTGATGTAACCAGTGAAACTGACTGATTTGGCTACTGGGGGCGGGGTTACAACTGGTGGAGAAATAAAAGTCACACCTGCATGCGACATGAGTGGGTTGCTATGCACCCACATACTTAGGCAATAGCAAAGTCACACCTTAGTGGATCCAAAAGTAGAAATCTGATGTCAACTTACTACTCCCTGGCCGTTTTGACGTCATCACTTTCAAGCCCTAGAGAGTCGTGATACTGAGTGATCATGGTGATAGCTTTCATTATTCACGACTCCCTACCGTCATGACACAAGTCTGTTGAGTGGTGCAAGTGACGGACTAGTTCTGTCCGCAGATTGAGGACTAGAGAGTAGAGTCTACGTCGAGACTGGGGATGTTGGCTACTGTCAGTACTGAGTCTGTAGCGCGCTAGCGGAGTAGTGGTGGGGCGAATGCATTTTCAAAAAACAAGCATGATTGACGTGCTAGCTCAGCTGTTACACTGTGCCAGCCTGCCACAACTGCCAGGCCAGGCCCACACAACACCAGGACGCTTGATCGGTACAATGACTACTACATAATCATTGTGTACAATGAAGTATGTAACATGTTCAGGGGTCGCACTTGTGTACTTAGACATCGCAGCCATTTTTGATTCATCACGCACGCAGCACGTGCGCGTCAGGGTCGTGCAGCCAATCAGAGTTACGGAAAATTCAAAATATCGCAATATTTGGGCGATTTGTAAAGGGTTCCTTGGCAGCCGTTTATCTAGCTACGGCGTTGAAAATCGCAGGGCTGCTTTGACGGCCAAGTACGCGGACATCTATCGAAAGAAATTTTGAAATCGGTCAAGTAGAAGGGAAATCCGTGTGTAGGGCTTTTTCTGAGCGTTGTCGCCCTGCTTTCCAGTATTCTGACAGTAAATCTATGTCGTTGAGGAAAAAAATGATTCGGTAGATTTACGGAGGAGATTCTAATAAAGAAAATGAGCCCTCGATCATCGAAATCGGAGAAGAGATGGCTGCCAAGGAACATTTTGAAGACTGCACTGACGGCCCGGCGCGAGCCGCTCGCGCGATCGCGCAGTGTCGGAAAGTACATGTACTTGGACTCCTTCGAGTTTATTTGGTGCGCGACTGCGCGGACGGGATCAGAATGATCTGCCTGCTGCAACGCTTTGCCCTGTGTCTTTGTTTTGGAACAATGTTCATGTACATTCACTGCTTTCTTTCTCCAACTCGGCGATGCCGCGTTGCTGGACCATGAAGACTCCAAGGCCAACTCCAAGCCGACACCGTGCGATTGTGATGTTTGTGTCACAGGTATCATACAAGTGCAGTCCGTGCAGTACGAAAAGTACCGATACGAGTGACATAAAACAAGGAAACCATACCGTCAGTAAGTCCCGATAGGATCGCTTTCCGTAGCAGGTGTACTCGTTGCTGGAATACTCCTTGCGGATCGAAGCAACTTTGCAAACAGAACGTCTTCCTCCTGAGAAATACTCCACTCGCATGATTCCCACGGTCGTTGTTCTGAGTATTGACACGCGAATTCAAAGCGGGAATACTTGCGCGCAAGCCCTAGACTTCCACTTACCAGTAAGTTTGCTGTTGTGACTTACAACTAAATGGAAGTCTATTTTGAAAGGAGAACGGGGAAAGAGAACATCGCCGTGTCAAAACAAGAACGGTATCAGTGAAGAAGAAACTCTGTTCACAAAAATCTGCAGGTCTTGATCATACCTAGCACTACTACTAGTACTAGCTAGCTTTGTAGCGCTTGTACAGTTTTGTATGCAAACAATGCATTGAGAACCACACACGTGATCCAAAAGAGCACGCGTCGCGCATGCAGTCAAAAGCAAGATGGCCGCGATGTCGAGAGCTGATCATGATACCAAGTGCGACCCCTAATGTTACTATGTAGCACAGTGCACTACAATGTAGTGGGTGCCGAAGGGCACTGTCACTGGAAAGCAGTTATCGCTGTGTTGCCACCCGTACCCAGATCAGAGAGAAAAATGCTGTTGTATGGCCATTATCGTTCTTTTTAGATTACATTCTTTGCATTTCAACACATGGGGCCAGAGCCAGCAGAGGCAGTACGGAGTGGACTTGTGTAACATCGAGTTGAGATCCCAATGATTTCCGTACCGAGTGTTCCACTTCTTCTGTGTAGCGCAACCGTTTTTTTCTTTTAGAGCCACAGTTCCTAGTTTGATACATGTAAAGTTGGAGCTGACGTCGGCCGAAGGGTTCACGTATTTCGTTGGTGACGTTTGTTGGAACACGATGGACACCTGAAATCGGTAAGAAGGCACTGAGAACGAGCCGTTTCGCGCCCTTGAAAGAAGTTTACCTTGCAACACATGCACAGAGACCGGAAGGCGTACTATTTTCATCTCGCAAACTTGGTGCCCTCGACACGATTCTTTGTGCTTTAGTGAATCTTTCCTGGCGGTACGTCCGGCTGCTGTTCTTTGTTTGCGCTGCAATTACTGAGAGCGCACCGCGATCAACGCCAGAGAGTACAGGCAGCGCTACGCGATTGCCATCAAGTCACTGATCTTCGGTGTGAGTGAGCGTGTCCCGGTGCAGTGTCTGTGCTTGATCGGGCATGCCTGTAGTTTTTCTAATCCTCTTCTGTAGAGGTTTTCCAACAATTCACCCAGAGCCATGGCCAGAGCATGGTGTCTGTGTGTGAGAGGCTTGTTCATGTATTTGCAGAAACCGGCGACCACTTTCGATGGCCGACGGTGCTCGTTCTGAGGTCTAGATGGCTAAGGACAGGGGAAGATCTAGAAAAACGACAGTTGGCAAATAACTTTGCTTACACCTGTATTGAAGCGAGATGTATGTGACAGTTTTCTTCGGCTGTCGCTGATGATATGAGAGGTTCTTGCAGGTGCATCGTAGACCTAGTAGTACCTACGTACTGGTGTGTTAGCAAGCGGTAAAGGATTTCCGTTTCTGTTACTGCTGCTATGTGTACCATGCTTCCTGAACAGCGTCCGCAAAGGTTTGTTGCCGGAGCTGTTGCAGTGCCAGTAATTGTGTCGGAGTCGTCGCTGCCAGCGTTCCATGCGCTGCGGAAAGGAGGCAAGGTTGATGCCGAAATGATGGCAACAGCACGGTAAGACTTCGTGCTGCAATGAAATCATTTCATACCATGGACATGTACATTTCGCAATAATGTGCCTTGCAAAGTAACTCCACTGTTTGTCAGCAGTGTACGTTTAGTACTAGTAGTTCCAAATTTAGTGTCAGGAAAAAAGAAGACCATGACATTGTACTGATCACTTGCATTCTCAATTATTTTGTGATAGGAAGTATGGGCAATCATCTATTTCCTGTTTCCCCCTCCTGATCGCAAATGACCGAAATCTAGTCACTGTCCATTCCGTAGGGAGCACAGAAGAGGTGGACATCTTCATTCATATTGGTCAACAGTGGGGTGACGGGACGGATGGGTATTGCTGATTGCTAAGCACTGTTCAAGCCACTTATGATTTGTGTAGGCTGAAGGCTTGCTTGCTCGATGTGCTTTTAAAAATAATTTGTCAATATCATCTTGGATTTGTATTTTGTATTTATTTCAATATTTCCTGGCTCGTCAAACGACTGCCAATGACAAGATGAATGTGAAATGAAGAGTAGATTGGTATGTACTTAAATGGTACCCCGAGGTGGAAAACACTCTCAATAACTGTACTCTTCACTAAAATGAGCAAAATGGGCAAGAAGTTCTCTCCCAGGAAAGGGTTGGAATATTCCGGGAATCAATTCTAGGTAGGATTAAGCCTGACCTGGAACGTGCAATGGAAATGAGATAGTGTAATTCCCTAATCCCTCGAATAATGTATTTGTACCAATGTTTATCAATGGCCATATTTTGGGACCCACACCTTTCCTTCAGCTACAATACGATCATCATTTTCGGTTGTGTATTCCTAGATACTATTCTATTACTACATCCAACCATGCAGCCTGATCAAGTTTCATGGATGGGGATGGGTTTGTGACAGTAATATTCTCAGTCACAGTTTGTAAAGTAGATGGCGCACTTCCTGGGGAAGTTGCTGAACCATCCTGGAATACACATGTTTTTGGTGCCATCAGCTGACTCTCTTCGACATGAAGTCATTGTCACTAAGCAAGACTAAGTGTGCATGCTGCATGCATGAGATACTAGTACTCAGTACTAGTAGCCCAAACCAGTCAAGTGCATCATGCCATACTGTTACCATACACACTGTACATACTCAGTGCTCGGTACTGCTGCTGCTGCTCTGGCAGGGAAGCTACTGCTAGTACTACTGCTATGACTAGGACTAGAATGCATCAGAACATGGATAAGCCCTTGGGCCAATGACTGACTGTGGTGTACTGCCTGTACTGCTGTAGGCAAGACAGACTCTGTATGCAAAGCTGATATGAACATATGTCTAGTGAATAGAGTGTACACTGTGATAACAATAACATGTTTGTGTGTGACATGGGCATCTAAGATTTTAATGTCTTATAACTATGGTAAAAAAAGGAGAAGGACACAATGTTATGAGTTATGACTAACTGTCCACCAACGCAACGCCTTCTCCTTTTTTCTCATTATCAAATTGGCTCACGATCCGAAGTCTTATATCTAACAATGTTTGTAGGAAAACGAACCACCTGTACCTGTGCAAGTTTACGAAACACCACAGCCCCGGATATAACAAGGTGTGATGTGCTCATGACATCTTACCAGTTCAAGGTCTGCTGTTGTTGTTTGCTTTCCCATTGCTGTTTCAGATACGATCCAGGCAGCAGCCATTGGGGCCGTCCGCCGGTCGACAGCATGATCATTGCTGGTGATGATGAGGATGAGGACGAGGATGATGATGATAGCGACACTGGTGATTACAAGATGACTGGATCACATCTTGTTGATAGATACATGTACGTACATACTAGTAACATGTACCTTGATGTACTTTCTACAGTGATACCTCAGTATAAAATGCCTCCAAGGCCAGGGACTTTAATCATACTGAGAGAGAGCACAAACCTCAGGCTGTTCGCAAGCAACATTTTCGAAAATATTGCCTCAATATTTTTCATGGTTTCTCATCAGGTGGAATACAGGAAAGAGAAAAATGATCAAGGAATGTGTATTTAGTACTGCCGAGAGGTGATAGAATAGCCCAAAGAAGAGTATAACACCAATGTGCGTGACCTCATACACATAGAAGGAATGGCAAAAAGGTGCAATGGTGATGAAACCTAACAAGCATCTAACGCATTGCGACAACATAAGGCGAATAGTGGACACACACTTCACATAGCTAAATAGCTGCTAGGTAGATTGTGAACAACTTGTTAGTTATGTCCATTGTCTGTCGTTTGTGGGCACACCATGCTACATGATTGTTAGGTTTATTCTCACTTTGTCATTCCTTCTGTATTGTACGGGATTACACCTTTTAGTGTTGTTTCTGGCCACTCCTCTTTGCGCTATTCCTCTCTGCTGTACTGAATTCATTGTTCTAGATTATTTTCTCTTTCATGTATTCCAGGGTCATTGGTGTTGTTAAGCAGCTCAGTTTTCCCCCTGCACATGAACATCAAGAGTTCAAGACTAAAACTATATTAGTGGTACTCAGTGCTGCAAGGTGATCTTCCATTAGTACCAGGCAACTATTTGTATGTTTACTCCCAGCCCAATTGAGCTGCAGCTGCTGGGTAGGAAGCAGAACATTCTAGGTTGTGACGGAAGGTGTTGTGCTGTGCTTGTGTGCCTGCTCCGTGTACAGTAAGACGATGCAAGCTCGGCAAAGTGGAGATGGTGCTCCTGTCAGGTAGGATCCGAGTCCAAGTAGCATTGTGTTTGCAACGAGACTGAGGGTAGAAACCATGACTTTCTCCCAAGCGATCCTCAACTATGTGTGGAACGCAGTGGTGTGTCCCGATATACCCATAACAGTATGCTTGAATTTGAAACCAAGCAACCGGGCATTCCCAGCCAACCAATAGTGTATTGTCTTGGGTCAGTCATGGACACATGTCAAGTGTCAACTTCTTTGTATATCTAGAGCTTCTCAGTACTGCTGTGATGGGATACTGTATAGCAGGAAATTTTCGGACGGAAATATTTTCGGACAAAGCCGAATTTCGACATTTCGTACGGATTTTATTTTCGTCCAGTGGTGCATGCTAAATGCACTTGTTTGCTTGCGGTACGCATGTATAGTGTACATAACTTCACAGGAACAAATTTTAGTACGGAATTAATTTTAGTACAAAAGAGGGCGTGTACGAAATCGTACGAAAATAAATTCCGTCCGAAAATTTCCTGCTATACAGTATTCTCTGTACTGCTGTGATGGGATATTCTCTGTACTGCTGTGATGGGTTATTCTCTGTACTGCTGTGATGGGTTATTCTCTGTACTGCTGTTATGGGATCTTCCTTTCTACACAGTGTATAGCAGGCTCTTTGTGGGCTTCTTTGGTATTCTCTTCTAACACTAGCTAAGGTCTTGCTCTTGCTATATGCTACGTATTCAGTGGGGAAGGTTTAATGACTTTCAAGTGAAAATCCTGCCAAGAAGACGAATGGCTAATGGCTGTAATGCGTTCTCAACTGTTCTCTTTGTGTTCCCTGAAGACATGAAACACCGGCAGATTTCGATGCTACGCTGCTCAGCGAAACGTTTGAAGATGCCACTTCCACTCTTGGCAGCCACTACTCAATGCGGCGTGAGAGTAGAGACATGGAGAGAGAATTCAGGCTCTCTGGTGGTACTCCCAAAGGTATGCACATGCTATGGAACACTGGAACAAGACTGAACTCTGTTATGCAATATTCCCCGCGTTTATGTGTTTTATGGACTGGGGGCCGATAAAGGGACATATACGTCACTTTTCCCGCCATCAGGTTTTGCGTTGCAGGTCCACTACAACCGTACCCATGCTGGTGCCTGCTCTGCAGGGAAGGTCATGTGTAACGTCATACTCACTAATGTACAAGAGCAGGTTGTACCTGCCGGGTATTGGACAACTTGCTCTGGAAAAAGGTGACGGCCATCTTGGGTGGACACCTCCATGGTCCTCTCTACCTGATGGTACTTGTCGTTACATTGTACTTGTATTAGCATGGTCCTGTTCCTAGTATTCAAAGTAAGATAATAATTATAGAATGGCATTTGCGCTTTCACATGAATCAGGGAGTGAATAGATCATCCTTCTCCCAGGCCAGCAACCTAAGCATAGTGTCGGAATATCATGGTGCTAGTCGGCAAGGCATGGTGGAAGGTGTACTCAGTGCACATGCATTTCCTATCACAACAGCACAGGGTGATGGTTTCTGTTCTTTACAATCGTATCTGAAGTATTTGTCTTGCTGTTCCTATGCGTGCATTTAGACCTGAGACTCAGTGTGTTGACTGGAGGAAGCCAAACCAGGGGTCGGTACGGCAGCAATGACAGCATGCGACGTGGCGGCGATGGGGAGAGCACACTGCCACGCCGTGCATCGTCCATTGACCCTATTCCCGAGTCGGAAGCCGACCCTCGCGGCTATGGTGCGGCTGCAGCAGTCAATCCCGGTGTGGGAAAGGACAGCACGATATCGCCACTGAGGTCACCGCCGTCCTGGTACAGTGACGAAGCTGCGCTACCTGCCAGTCTCGCCAATCAACACCTTGGCCAGTACAATAGCCTGGCCCGGGGAAATCGGACAGACGATGGCAGCTATCAGAATATTTCAAGCATTCCGTCCCGGTACAATGAGCAGCCAGATGGTGCCTCAGCGCAACATCAATCGCGGGCCCGACACCCAGTTAAACGGCAGGAATCTCAGGAACAGGAGGTAGCACTAGCGATCAGGGGAATGAACAGCCACTCGCGACAGGCCATTGCTGCCCAGGCCATGGACCATTCGGAAACCCCATCAGGTGAGCTGACATGTATATCCAACCCATCCCCACCATTCCTGTAGGGAATCAACACGTAAACTTGCGTTGTAGCATGTTTGAAGTGTTCGTCAAAATGCTGGAGGTGCAAAACAGGTAGCCTGAACATAGGGTGGAGTGGATCAAGGAGGGGGAAACAATGTGGAAAGCTCTGCCTTTTACGGGCATTGTACGCCATACTTGATTACGTTTTACTTTTGTGGGTAGTTTTCCATGCTGTAAAGCTTTCTATTGCTTAAACAATGTGGGCCCAATCACCTCTTCATGCTTAGGTCTGCGCATTGCTTGACAATGCAGAGCTACTGTTGTGGACATTGAAATCCGATGGGATGACCGCGGCCGGCGCCCTTTCTGCATTTACCTCATACATGCACTGTAGTTCATGTGCACACTGTAAAAAAGGACCAGCAGTGCTCGCCGTTGCAAGGCCAGTGTCCCTGTCCACAACAGTACATGAACATGCATGTGCATGCTTATATTCATTCTTGTTTTGCAGAGGACGGGCAGGATTATCAGCCGGCAAGAAACGAGTCGGCGCAGAGCTCTCGGGCAGGTGCGCACTCCCAGCAATCGCATCAATCGCAGTCGCACTCCTCTAGGCAGCAGCAGCAGCCGCAGCCAGGCCGGTCGCCAGCGCATCAGCTATCGCTGCACGACGTGGTGGGATTCCTGAACAGCCGCGATACGATGGTGGTTGCCAACGCCGCTGGGTATCTTCAGCATGCATCGTATAACAATGACCATGTCAAAACTCAACTGAGGTGAGGAGCAAAGCAGAACATCACAGCATAGGACGAAGGCTGACTCCCTCCCATTGGGAGAATTGATATGGTAGCAATGCAAGGTTTTTTTTTTAAATTTTGATGTTTACTAGAAACATCAAAGAAGTACCGTATCATTGTCAGTTTATGGAGACCGTAGATCTAAACTGGAGGTTTGTTTCAATCCAACTTTCAGTTGACCAAGTAACCACCTTGTGCACTATCTAGTCTTCTACTGCTGCTGCCCTTGCTGTTGTTGTTCTTGCTGCTGCTGCTGCTCCAGTTGCAGGTGTTGCTGCTGCTGCTGCCTTTGTTGCTGCTTTCGTTCTTGCCGCTTGTCCTGTTACTTCTGCTTTTGCTCCTGTTGCTCCTGTTGCTGTTGCTGCTGCCTCTCATGCTGCTGTTGCTGCTGCTGCTTCAAATTGCAAATATCCACCAGCGACATGCCAGCGATTGACCATTTAGTGTATATGTGTGTGTGTGTGTGTGTTCTTCCTTGTAGGGATCTTGGTGCCATACCAGCCTTGGTCGGTCTCATTTTGCAGAGAGATGAAATGGTGCAGCACGCTGCCGTGGGTGTGCTAAGAAACATGTCATACGGTCCTCACAGCGTCCCTAACAAGGTATAAATCACCTGGTTGTGAGGGCGCAATCTTTTATAGTGTGATCTATGCTTTTTGAACAAGCTGTGAATGTGGTGAAATATTAGAATGCTCCTTGAAAGGACTGAAAACCGGCGGTAACATGGATAATGGATATTCGTATCTTTTGTAAAATTTACTATGGTCATGATAGAATGTCCAGAATCCATAGTTGAAGTTGTTTACGAATTCCCACAATAGGATTGCGTGTGGATATGCAGGAGGGGGCGTTTTTCTTTGGCTTCAGGAAAATATTTGAGTGTAAGTTTGTTTTCTGTCTCCCCTTTGCCCGCAGTATGCCGTTTGTGAAGCAGGAGGCGTAGAGGTCCTAGTGCGGCTGTTGCGCAATGCAAGGTCTGAAGATGTGAGTACGCCGGTAATACCTGGCACTGTATGTTTAGTAGCACAAGAGCACTTCGGAAAATAGACACTTGCTATGTTGGCCCCCTGGTGGGGTACGTAAAAATCCACTCACACGACAATCACTTTGCATATGGTGTATGCGGCGTACATGGTATGCACACACAAGCACGTATAAGGAATATGGGCGCTGAACCCTGGATACGCCACACGCATGTACTACGCCACTTTGGGATATCACATGCCATTGGCGTAGCTCGGCAATTTAAGTCTTTGCCTGGAATAACTTGTCCCTACTATAGCTTCCAACTGACACTAGGTTTTGTGTGTTTCCTGTATCCTATAAAGGTACAAGAGCTGGTGACTGGAGTGCTGTGGAATCTATCTTCTTGTGAAGTAAGACCATCTAGCTTCTGCATATCTTATCTATCCTTTTTCGCACAACATTTGCCAAACATCTAGGCTCTTTCTTGTATTGCAGAAATACATTGTTCAAATTCGTAGAGGTAGGGTGTCTGTTTGATGGAGCTCCTAGCGACATTCCTCATCCACCTTGGATATCATCTTCTTGCTAGAGCTAAAGTAACTTTCATCTAGCCGATAAATAAGACGATTCTCTTTGTCTTGGTAACGTAGGAAACAGAGCAGATCTTAACCAGTCTTTTGCTGATAATGGTATTACGACTACACTTGTGTTTATGCAGGAGCTGAAGAAGCACATTCTTAGCCAGAGCACTACCGAGCTGGTGCGATCAGTGATTGTACCCGCGTCGGGCTGGGATCCGTCTGGGGATGAGGACAATGAAGACAACAACGATGTGCTTGCGCAGATCCTCTGGACATCGGTGTTGCGCAATGCAACCGGCATACTGCGCAATCTCTCGTCGGCCGGACCGGACGCGCGGGACGTTTTGAGGAGCACCGAGGGCTTGGTGGACGCGCTCCTGAGAATGTTACGAGCAGCCGTTGGTAACAATGAAGTGGACAACAAGGTGTGTGAACGCTTTCCTCTTCCATGTGTTGCACGCTGGAGCACTAAGCTCGGTTAAACTGTGATGATCCTGCCATTGAGCAATTGATCCATAGAGTGGTTTCACACCTATCACATGACCATACAGGACAGCCGTATCTGTTCCACCTCTAGTCACCCCTTGTATCGATCGGATGTCGGTGGCCATGTTGCCGGGTTCGTTCCACATGACATGATCACTCTCTACACAAATTCAGTCACATGGCAACGATCTGAAACCACTCAGCAAGCTAGTATAATTATGTTAACATGAACAATGCTTTTGCAGAAAAGAAAAAAGGACCAAGAAACTACAAGTTACGCTATATTGTCCACTAACACCACCAGTTACTAAACAATCAGTGTCTTGGTCCTTTATCTTTTCTACAAATTTATCCTTGGCTCTCCGTCCGAGTCCAATGCTTTTGCACTCCGGACTTTGACCAATGTTAACTCATTAGCCACATTTCCACCTTCATGCTTAGCTAATGGCGTCTCTTCTTTGCGTTAATTGTTGCGTTTGTGTGTTGCGCTGTGTTTAGTCGGTGGAGAACTCAATGTGTGTATTGAGGAACCTGTCGTTTCGTATGGAGACTGAGGTTGACGATCAGCACAGTACGTATGCGGAGGAGGCCATGCAGACTAGTAACTGGGAGAAGAGGATTGTCAAGGAAAGAGCCGACTATGAGATATTTTCGAAGAGGCTGGCCAAGAAGGAGAGCAAGAAGTCATTCAGCTTCCGTCGGCGTTCATCCAGTAAGACTGGCTTTGTATAATAGGATATTAATCACCCTCTGCATTGGTGATGTTTTCTGGGAACACTTTGTGTCTGTGTCCATGGCTGTGTGCGCGCACATGAGGTGAACTTGTACTTGACTGTACTTGACGTATATGTTGTCTGGTGAGCAATGTATGCCTTGAACAGCACTGAAACTGTGCTATACATTGTAATGCGAACAACACTTTTCACTTGGTATACTACTGCTCACCATCAAACTATGGCAGAGGCTCGGAAAATCGTATCGCTAATTTCTTATGCTTTTCAACGCTATGTTTGACTACAGAGAAACAGACAGGCAGACCTCAGTCTTTGGATACTGATGTGATTGTTGATGAACCACTGCCATGGAATGACGACTGTCCGCCGTTTCCAACGCGAACCAAAGCTATCAGTGGCATTGTACAACTGTTCCAGCCAGAGGCAGTCCAGCCCTATGTTGCACTGGCTGCGGAGGCATCCAACCCGGAGACACTGGAGGCTGCTGCCGGCGCTATCCAGAATCTGACGGCATGCAACTGGAAGGTGAGTGGTTGTTGGTCATAGGCTTTTTGAGTTCTTGTCATACTACCAAGGTGTTGGCACTCCTACTACCTCAATGAATAATAACACCGTGGAGATAGCAGACATACGAGTCGCTTTTTGTAAGATTGTTCTATCAGCTGCCTTGAATTCGAATAAGCCACTGGAGTGGAAGGTGGTTGCTCCCAATGTTGGAGATCGCGCTGACTGACACTTGAATGCAGTGTATTATAGAATCTGTTTTCGTTCCCTTTTGTCTCGGTGTTTCCTCTCAGTGGTCAGTTTTCGTCAGAAATGCTGTCAGAAAGGAGAGGGGACTGCCGATATTGTCGGAGCTGCTGACGATTCCAAGCGATGCAGTCGTGCGCACGGCAGCCACTGCATTGAGGAATCTGGCTGTTGATCCTAGGAATCGTGAACTTATTGGTAAGACATACTCGACAATCCTGATGGTCAGATTGCATTGACGTTTCATACAAGCCACAGCATAAGTCCATCTCTAGCCATTTCCTATCTTGGATCCCCTACTGAGACACTGACCGCATGATTAATTCCCCGGGACGTTATACTAGTGTGTATGGGGGGGGGGGGGGCGGTCAATCCAGCACCTGGTACACCAAATTTGCGTTTTAGACTCGCTGTCTGGTTCTCTTGATAGCAGAGTAAAGGAAGATATGTCCATGCTGAGAGTTTGCGTCCTATGCTTGGTGTTTCCTGTTCCTCTCAGGCAAGTTTGCAATGCGAGACCTAGTGTGGCGTCTTCCTGGAGAGCCGGGTAATGAGAATATGTCTGAGGCTACGGTTGCCGCTGTTCTCTGCTGCATCCAGGAGCTAGTCACCAAGGACCTACCCAATGCGAAGTGAGTAGCAATCGCTTGTTAGCCCAATATTGCTTGTTTGTAGCCCAGCCGCCGCTTCTTCTTGCACCAACATGATCTTGCTTCTGTTGGCAAACTCCTTACATATGAGAGAAAGGATTTCCACTGCTCGAAAGTTGCCAGTGAAGTTTCTGAAGAGCAGGCTTGTTGCTGTTCGATTTTTAGGTGGTAGTTGTATACAGGGGCATATTGATTCGAGTAGTCATTTACGTGTCCTTTGGAAATTAGTACACACTTTCTTTGCAGTCCTGTTCATGCCTGCCGTACATGTATGCATTACAAAACTGTCATATTGATATGGACCCTTCGGGATTGGTGTGCTTGTTGCGCAGGTTGCTGACAGAGGCAAATGGTATTCCAATTATTGTGGAGCTTGCAAAGGCCAGGGATGCAACGGAGAAGCTTAGTCAGATTGCCAACAGGGTAGGTTGTATGCTTGAACACATGCTATGGATGTCGAGATTTAAATGTCTTTGAAGTTGCGGGCATAGCAGATCATAAGTGTTTCCCTCTACTGTTGACATATTGTGCCGATATATCCTTCAGTGTTCAAAGTAGGTCATACGTGCATGCAGTGAACAAGAAGGAGCTATTCTATTTTGTCGCATGATTCTGCAAGTAGACCGGTATTTGCTATTGCTATGGATGTGCAAGGTGAAAGGAGTGCAAGGGTCGGTAACTGTGTGTATTGGGTTCTGTTACTTCTGCTGTCTGTTTAGACTTGTCTCATCTTGAGCAACTCCAAGGAGAATCGTATTGTCTTGAAGCAAGAGGGATGGAGCTACGACTATTTCGTAAGCAGTACACGCGGCCGTGCTGAATACTCTGGAGACACTGCCACGCTGCATTCAATGTCAGATAGTCGTGCCAACGTTAGCACCGGGGCCAATGCGGCAGAGGGCTTGAACAACAGGGCAGCAACAGCAGCCCAGACCAATGCCGAGGCTACAGCGGTGGTGCCAGCGGACCTGCCACAAGCTAGAAATCAAGCGAACATAGCTGCACTAAGTAGACAAGCTTCACGAGCAGACCCTGGCCCCGCAAGGCAGCCCGCGTCACGAGCAAATGCACCGGCGCGACAGAATTCTCGCTACGCAGCTCCTGCTCGGCAAGCGGCCACTCCGGATGGGCTTACTCAGCCCCCGCCCGTTCAGCGGCAAGCATCTGAGTTGGCCAGCGCTCCGGCAAATATTGTGCACCGCCAGGAGAGCACCAGGCCCAAGGAAGCAGTGCGCACCCTGAGCCGACCGCAAGGTGACACAGGCATGAGGCAAGCGGGTCACAATCAGCCGGCAGTCGTGGATATGCATCTTCAAACGCTCAACAACCAAGCAGATAATGTCGTTCGACAACTTAGTGAAGTGGATGATAATTCATGGGTGTAGCAAGTACACTCTGAATGCTCTTGAAGCTCGTTTCTCTATTTTTGTTTTCTATTTCCTAGCATTTTGCTTGATTCCGTTGAGATAATATTTCGAATTAGAGATCTAGTGTAATATATAAGGGCTGGTGCTCACAGATGAGATGATCCCTTAGATGAGTTTACAAAAAAAAACGACTGTTGTCTTTGCATCATGGATATTGACTTGTAATAATTTTGTGTTCTTTGAAAACTTATTTCTAATTAAAGTAATTTTCTAGAAATGACAGAATGAGATCACTGTAAGAGCAGTATTTTCCTTCACTGGTTAAATAGCCTTATAAGGCGGCTAGGTAGAGGAGATCATACGGTAAGCACCGTCCTTGCCATGCTTATTGGGTTGAGCACTTAGAAACAAGAGGCGTCGCAATTAAAATATGGCAAGCACCAATCTCTCTCTCCCCCTCCCCCCCCCCCCCCTCTCTCTTTCTCTCTCTCCCTCTCCCTCTCCTTCTTCCTCTAAAGAATAAGTCCCAAGTTTTGTCAGAAAATTAAAATTTCACCCCAAATGCAAGGAAAATCAGTCACTTTATCAGGCTATGAAAGTAGGCAAAATTCAATTCTGGTTGTGCATGTACCAAAATTCAAAAATACAGTGAAACCTGTGTAAGACGACCGCTCAAGGGACCTTCAAAATGTGGTCTCTATTACCTGGCGGTCATTTGACTGAACATACATGTAGATCTACGTGTAGCATCCCTCGGTCCTTGTTCAGTTGTTGCAGTGGTCTGGACAGGTGTTCGCCTTATCCGAGTGCTCACCTTCACAGGTTTTACTGAAAACATTAAATTTTTTGTGGACAGGCTAGGCCTATGTGACCATAGTGACGTACATGTACAATGTGGTTAGTTAGTTGAGATAATTTTTTTATATTAAAACCATGTAAACGACACGACTTTTGCGTCGCTACTACATGTAAGTCTTGTTGTAGTTTGTCATGTAGCAGAAGGTACGTAGATCTACGTCCAGACCATAGCTCATAGTGTCATACTTTGAGCCATACTGGCCCATAGGCATAGGCGAAGTGCGGTATTTTCAACAGTCAGTCAATCTCCCCTGACACTTTGAAAAGTAACTTACACTATTTTTTTACTCTACCCCGATACTTGCAGGTCGACGTGATCATCTTTGCCCGTTACCCCTGGCCGAGAACTAGTGTTAGTAGTAGTACCGGTAGTGATAATGAAACGGTGGAGAGCTGTTGTAACAGTGCTATTTGTGCTGCCAGTAGTTGTTGTTAGTATCCATCGATGGCTGCTGGATAAATCCTATGTCTTCACTGCAGACGAAGTCGCTAGCGTTGCAAGAAACGCACTAGGTACGTTTCAGTCCCGATGTCTCCTTTTAAATTTTTATCGCATTTGCGATGGTTTATTGTTTGCTTTTGTCGTTTTGATTTTATATGTCGAGAGCATTGCACAATTGTGTACATGTATTTGAAAGTCCGTCAGTGACGTTATTTCACTGAATTCGTCACGAATGAAATTAAATTCCACGGGGTGTGTCTGATGATAGGGGGTTAAAGGGGAAGTCCGGTGAAAAATTTAAATTTCAGGGTCGGTAGAGTTTCGGCCGCTGAGTCGAATGGTGTTGGTCCCACGTGTCTCCGACAAAGCGTTCTCGAGATATTTCCGTTTGAAAAACTGAGTTTCGGGGGCTGCGCCATGACGTCATGCGGCCGCGCCACACCCTCCGCAACGTCATAGCGTGCAGCTAGGTCAAAAGGAGTGCGTGAAAGCAATAGTGTCAGTGCTATTTCAAATGATTTGGCGACTGATATTAGCTGGTGCAAGCGACCCCGAAGACCTAACTCCTTGTGAGAGTGAGGATGCAGCCATGGCTGACCTTCATGAGTTTGGTCTGGGGCTGAGAACCTCGGTATTCAGCTGAATAAATGGCCGCGCGGGCCGGTCAAGAGTGAGCGCTCTGAGTTTCCGACTGATGAAGAAACAGCAGCTATTGCAGACGAGGCTGATATAATTATCAGATCGCTGGAGAGCAGGGTCGCCAAAATGGAGAAGAGTGATGCGAGTGCTCTAAATGTTGTTCCATACCGATTCACTTAGACTCCAGTAGCCTGCCACATGGTGATGTTTTGGTGCGAACTTGGCATATTTCGGACTACTCAATTGGAGAACACTGCAGGCTCTTTGAACCACGGGCACGACTCTTCGCTCGCAGCGCTATGGAATCTGAAAGTTCTAGGTCCTGGAGCTGTTCGCTGTTTTGTCACTTGTCACGGTTGTGCACTCATCGCTGTAGCATAAAATAATGAGGCGGGACTGGAGCGGAAAACTAAAATTTTCTTTCTCAAAGCACAACCACCGGCACCGGCAAGGAGAAACGCACGTTCTCTGACTACATGACTGGACGACTGATGCGAGTGTAGTACATGACAAGTCCGTGCGTTGACTAGTTTTCTGAGTCTTGTGTCTGGACTGGAGTCTTGTTGTAGATACTAGCCCAGCACGGCAGTGCTGGAGTAGTTCTGTGTGTGATGAGCTTGTTGACTGCACTACAGCTAGCATGCACGCAGCGCATTGCTAGAGCCGTAGACTAGAGGCCATTGCATGCTGACGGAAAAAGTCCAACTCGGAAACGGCTAAAATACGGTATAACCTCGAGGTTTAGCGAGCTGAAAATCACAGGGTACGTAGTGTTTGTAACACTGAATCGAATGGTCTTGGTCCGAAGAAGCTGCGACAAACGGTTCCCCAATCGAACGCGCTCCGAATATGGCCATTTTGTACACGACTAGATGGTGTGGCTACCTGGCTGCACGCTGTGACGTCATCACCTGGATCTGGGTGATGGCTCAAATTCGCACATGTTCGATTGGGCGTATCTGACGAACCATAGGCCGCAGCCTCCTCGGACAAAGACCATTCGACTCAGCGACCCGAACTGAACTGATGTCCAACTAAGCTGCTAAGGATATGGACTTAAATGCATCAGGTTATCTGATTAGTTTAATGAACCGGGATCCAGCAATTACTGTAAAATCAGAAATTTTAGGTGGTGTTTTATTTTCGGTGCCAACAATTTTTACCTGAAATACAACGCACCGAAAATATCGGTACTAGTACTAGTACACTTACCTGGAACACGGGTTTACCGACAATTTCCCTCCACCGAACCGCTGGTTTTGGAGAATATCGAAAAAATTACTCCATCGAAAAATGTCTGCTTTTACAGTACATGTTATATTGGGGATTTTCAAATTACTGCTTCCTTTTCAGAAAATGGACACAACGGACCAGAGTCGTTTGATTTCATAATCGATGAGATGCGTCGTCGCCATCCCGGCCACATCCTGCCCAAAGAGCAGATGAGATGGGTGTTCGTGAATTGCGGTGGCTGGATGGGTGCCATGAAGCTACTGCACGCCTCCCTCACCGAGTACGTCATCCTGTTTGGAACAGCTGTCAACACGTCAGGGAACTCCGGTAGGTTTGTATGCCAGTGTGCCATGAACAACTTTCACTACTGGTTCTTGTACACTGCCAGAAACTCAGCAGCACAATCATCAAGTAAAGATACTAAATTGTTTTCAGCAGAGCCTTATACATGTTTTTCCGGATGTTAACGGTCGCCGTGAGTTCCCTTAGGAACGAAGACGAGAAAATTTATGCTTTTTAAAAACTGTTTACATTGTGTTGCTTCCACTGATTTTACAGGTCGTTACTATGCCAACATCACGGACACCATCGTCAGTGGAAAGTTTTGGCAGTGGAAGGAAGGCGAGGAGAAAGCTGTCCTGTATGGACCCGGCGACACCGTCTATCATCACATGTTTGAAGTTGCCGCCGTGGAGTGGTCTGCCGACACCTGGATGCTGGAGTACGGGCGCGGCTTGATTCCCAGTACGCTGGGCTTTGCGCTGGCCGACACCGTGTTCAGCACAACCGACTTCTGGAACATGGGTGTCCTGCTGCACCAGTACGGTCTGGGCCTCTGGCTCAAACTGAACACATCCCTGCTAAATCTGTTTGGATATCCGGCTATGTAGGACTATTGGTATTGATGTACTTGTTGTGCGCAAGTAGTGTTGGTACTGAGGCCAGTACAATAACATATTGTGCACAAGTGCATCAGGATCCAGTATATCTCTTTTAAAAGAGAAATGATTAATTTGTCTACGCCGGTAGAAATGGATTTATTTTAGTTTAGTTTTGAAATGGACTACACGTACGTATTAATGACAATTGGCGAATGGAAGTAACGATCATAGCAGTCATCTTTGGAGTGCCTTTTTTGGGATATTATTTTGGGAGATACGGTAGAATATGATGACACTCCTTCGGGAGATTAAAAATCACAATTCGATGTTGCTTAGCCCGTCTTCGAAGTAAAAGACTAGGGCAGCAAAAATGATCTTAAAACGTACCCTGTCTGTTGGTACATGCAAGATCGGTGTGTGCAATATCCACTGTACCGTATCTAAAGCTCTGAATTTCTGCTTCCACTTTGATTCAGACAGTACCGCAGTCTTCCAGATTCGAGAAGGGAGGAAGAGATCTGCTAGTGTGCTTTTGATTCGAGAAGGGAGGAAGAGACCTGCTAGTGTGCTTTTGCCCGCCGTGTGAACTGATAACTGTCACGAGTACATATATTTTAACTCTGATTGGCCCCTGGCCCTATGTCATGTCATCTGTTAGTGGCACATGAAGAAGATAATATTACACTCTGGTGAAACTGCACAATACTGTCAATAGGGGTTATGCTTTTGTGCCAACACTCCTTCTAAAGAGTAAAATACAGATTCTGACATAGCCCCAAGTTTCTACTTCAAAAGTGCATTCTGCTGTAAGCCCGCATACACACACACACACACAGAGGGGGGGGGGGGGGGGAGATACCACAGGCACATCAAGGCACAATTTACTAGCTAGTTTTTTTGGATGATGAATGAAACTCCTGTTTGTATGCTTCATGAGGAGATGACAAGAAACAGTAAACATCACCACATCAATAAGTAAAATTGATCTAAACAGTAAAGAAAATATCACCACCAACCCAAGCACAGCTGAATATTTTGTCTGTTTTTTTTGTCAATGCGCAAATAAGTTCCAAAGAAAAATCAATTAGACCAGCTCAGCTACTGCTACCTTTGTGCTTCGTTTAAAGACAAAGAAAATAAACACTAGAATTATCGAGAATTATTAAACTGGCTAGAAATCTATAAATGCCTGGAATTATGAATAAAACTGCAAGATCTTCTTACTTCATGAGGCCAGCTGACTGAACAGAACAAGCAGACATGTGGCATATGCCAAAACAGCACCACAAGAACATCGCATTCAGCAGCAGCGTGCATGTGCATGTAAAATGGAGCATCATTCAGCCTTGTCTGCCGTGTCTGCCTGGTCGGAGTCCGGCTTGTTCTTCACGGACAAGGCGTTCTTCAAGCCACTGCTCATGTAGTAAGGCTTGTTAGGACTGCCATCATTGCGCTCAAGATCCTCAACTGGAATTATGAAAAACACACGTAAACACACATGTTCCCACAAACATTAGAGGCTAGGGTAAAAATACTACCAAAAAGCTGCACATCCACCCCTTAGCAATTAACACTAAGTGGAGACACACACATGACAAGCAATAGTTCCTTCTTTTGTGCCAGGTCGAGCAGAAACATTGCTGCGCAAATCAAAGCTTGACTCAACACGTGTCTCAGCGGCACACACACACACACACACACACACACACACATACATACATACACACATTCACACACACATACACCTTCCCCTCTCCCACACACACACACACACACACACACACACACACACACACACACACACACACACACCCTCACCCCCCCCCCCCCACACACACACTGTGTCATTGATCTGCCTAAGACTTACGGACACAGAGGAAGATTGTGTCAATGGCCATGTCAAAGACGTTGAGGAATCCATGTGCGGTAATGAAGGCAACGATACACAAGAACTGCATCGGAGACAACACAATCACAACCAAAAGATGAGCATACAGAGACTAGCAAGAACGGCCAAAGCCACACTCCTAACGTAACACCACTAATCTTTGTCTGTCTTCTGAAGGCCGGCCTAGATACCCAGCTAGACTCTCCCCAATTTTGTACCCCTGTATTTCCATTGAATTTGAGCCTGGCTGAGTGCCTGATCAGATTATGAAATCTGATTAAAACCGTCTTATGATTACTTACAATGATCGGGATCAGATAGTAGTTGAGACCTTCTTTGGTGCGCAAGTGGTCAAACACGTAGAATGCAATGACACCTGCAAGAGCAAATAGACCAAAATAGACCACACGGTGTTCACGTAGCGAAAAGAACCAGAAGAGAATCGGTGCCAACGCCAAAACCCAAAGAATTTCAGATGAAGAATTACAGTCAGAAATTACAAGCCACTGTGGAGGGGGGGGGGATAGTTTGTTGATGGTTATAATAATGAAACGTGTTCTCTGCCCAAAGCGGAGCTCGTGTTTTTCCGCCGACTTAAGTTGACACTTGACTGACTCACGACTGCTATCCAGAGCACACATGCAAGTCTATTATAATAATGTCCAAAGCAAATGGATGCATATCGGAGGAGCCTCCCGGAGAGTGCAAGGGGGGGGGGGGGGTGAAATAGAATAAGAAAGGGAGATGAGAAAGAAACAGCAAATGTGTAGCTAAAGATCAAGGCATAGCAGGAAACTGACGCAAGTGAACTCGTACTACTAGCATAATAAAACAAACAAAATTGCCCGTATAGTATACAGGCAATTTAGTTGAGTCCATCACTGCTCCAAAAGGAAACACTTCCAATATTCGCGGAGGCATCGATCTCCATTGCTAACCCTTGGACTACTGACTCACACAAGTCAGACACGTACCTGTTATTCCCGTAATGAGCAACTTTCCGAGGAACAAAATAAACGCTGTGATCTTGTTCAGCACCACCACTCTGAAGGGAAAGGAGCACAGCATATCAATCATCAGAATACTAGTACTTGCTTCTTCACCATAATAATAGAATCAGCAAACAATGTCCAATCCTGGACAAAACATTTTCGTAGCTGACATACAGCAATATACAAAATAGAACAAACTATCTTTATCCCAAACCCAACTCTTGTTGGTCTTACCTGACGATGTTGCGGAGGATCAAGTTAAATGCCTTGCGTGCTGCCTTGCAGAAGTTATACCCATAGATGGCGATCAGGATGTAAGCATTCTTGTTGATGAACTTCAGGATCTTCTCCAGGCACCAGAAGAAGCAAGCCAGACATCGGACAATGAACCTGGCCACCTTGTTCTCCGAGCCGCCTAGCTTGGCCTCCAGGTAAGCAAGGACAGCACGGATGAACTGAACAATGGCAATGATCAGAGCTCCGAATGCCAACGAGCCTGTATGGTAGAGCATGGTGCGCTTCAGAGAGCCCAGCACAGGGAACGTGGGAATGTCCTTGGACTTGTCAAACGCCCAGTAGTAGGAGGCAAACGCACCGGCCAGAACACACTGACCCAGTGCCAGAATGAAGTTGAGTCCCCACAGCCAGCCGAAGAAATGATACAGCTGGATGCGGAAGAGCTGTGCGTTGGCAACGTACTCCTTGAAGGTGCAGCTTGTCAAATTGGTCACGTTGTTTTCTATCAGCAAAGTTGAATCATTAGAGGCGGGATCACATTCTGCTCCAAAAGTGTAGTTGAAGCCCTCATTAAAAGCATAGGTGCGAACTCCATCGCCGTTGAAGTTCTCATAAGCATAGTGTGCGGTAGAAGAGGTCACAAGAAACCTGCAGTATCAGCCGCTAGTCAAGGAAATTTGACCATTTGTTCGGTACAAAAATCTAAAACTGCCTTCCTTTCAAAGAACGTGCCCGTACAGAAACTCCAACATTCAAAGTCTGTACCTTAGTGCCAGGCTTTCACGTCTTTGTAAGGCAACAGCTGATGAACCTTGTACATACCCAGCGTCTCTTCTACGTCAAGAAGGCGTCCATATCACTGGCCATGCTTGCATGCTTTCTAATTCAATGGAAGTTTTCTCCACATATGTTGTCGGAGAATGAATTCTTTTCAAATTACCAAAAACCATGATTTTAAATTTCCTAAAACAAATACAGGCTAGGTCACTAATTCTATTGACACATGTAGTCAAGCAAGGACAGTACATGCAATATACTCAGAAAATGACCATTTTACGTTAGCATTGAAACGTTAGCATTGTGGTAAAGGATACACTCCGACGCCAACAAACCACGCGAAGAAGGCAAACTGCATTAAATAGGTCACCAGTGGAAAGAACACAGCGCTCTTGATACTTCCAACAGCCCTGCAGAGACAGTCACACGCAAAACCCACATTGTACAATGGTGGTTTGAGATATGGATAACTTTATCAGGATGACCCAAAGGCTGAGCGCCTATCGTGGGGTCCGTCGCATTGAAGGATGATGGTACAAGAGAGTACAGATTGGGAACGGGGGGGGGGGGGGGGGGTGTGACTACGTTTTACCTCAACAGTGCAAGCTCAAGAGCATGCTCCAAGTCATGCAAAATTTAATGGCTTTGTCGTAACCATGGTGTGATGCTCTGCTGCTGAATATGCTCGCAAGAAAACAGAACGTGAACGCATGCGAATGTCTTGCGAAGAAGTGCTTCGAGAAGGTACTCCTTCCCATGTCTATTGCTGCGACCCAACAGTAGAGACCTTTTCACACTTTCATACGAGCATAAGGTGAGCACAAGTACGTAGCGAGTACGAACGGAATGCTCATTTACCATCTGCTAATAAATATTTCATAAGAGCATCATGAAGAGTCAAGTTAGGTGTACAGAGTATAAGTACATGGCTTTGCAACCAGTGGGGCTACTCTGAGCCGCCATTCGTCTCCTACTTGTTTTGTCATGGAGTGTTAACAGGTATCCAGTAGCTATTATGCAGCTAATCACTGGCTAGTGTACTATAGGTACTTGAACACACAGGCAATAAGTATGCAATAAATAGTAGATTAAGAATACAGATGGTGAGCCAAGGAAAAAAAATTGTAACATGGAAAAATGTGGGCACAAGGTATGCGATCGTCAGTTTTGTGCTAGATTGTGCACGTCTGACTGTTCAAGATCTGGTTTAGCTGGTGGACTCGATCGCATAACTTGTGCCCACATTTTTCCATAAATAGTACAGTCCACCATTACACTAGCACCTACTTGCTGGACTGTTTGATGACCTCCACTGCCAGGTTGATACGAGATCTCAGGAACAGGAAGATCAGGATCAATATGACCACAATGACTGTCAGGGTAATACCTGAAAAGGGGAAGATCACAAGAGACATGGATGCACAACATATGTCACTGCTGTCTCCTCCAGCCTACCCTGCTGGTGGAAATCTTGACAATGTACCATGAGATGCCTGGAACATGCACACATCATGAACACCTGAAAAGCATATGATAAAGATGTTATAGGATGTCAACTTATCTAAATCAATCCTGGTTTCTTGCAGACATATTTATTTCATGCCAAGTTCTTGTAAACTTATCTAGACCAAACGAGGTTTCTTGTAAACTTATCTAGGCCAAGCCAGGTTTCTTGTAACCTATCTAGGCCAAGCCAGGTTTATTTTTTAAACTTATCTTGGACAAGCCAGGTTTCTTGCAAACTTATCTAGGCCGAGCCAGGTTTCTTGTAAACTTCTCTAGGCCGAACCTGGTTTCTTGTAAACTTATCTAGGCCAAGCCAGGTTTTTTGTAAACTTATCCAGGCCTAGCCAGGTTTCGTTTAAACATATCTAGGACAAGCCAGGTTTTTGTAAACTTATGTAGGCCAAGCCAAGTTTCTGGCAGACTTACCTAGGCCAAGCCAGGTTTCTTCCTGGTAACGGAAAGTGTCCAGCAAAGTAGAGGCACTGTCAGTCCTGGGATTGTTCTTGAGGTCCGTGTACTCTTTGTAGCAGAGATATATTCCTGGATGAACAATGCCCGTACAGTTGAAAGAAGGGTTTAGAAATTTAACAGCATAATATACATACTTTGAGATAGGTTTGGATTGAAAGTAGAATTGATCAAAAAGGCATGTTGCCATAGGAAGAAAGAGGAGGCATGGGTATGCCCAACTTGAGAGAAAACTTGGCGTATAGAGACAAGTTCTGGAATGTTGTAGAGACTACTTCCTGACTGTATTGTACACTAGGTACACACATGTGATTGCAGTTGCCCTTGTGCTGCTACCCCCAACAGAGGATGGATACATGCGGCAATAGTCTGTGCTCACCCCATATGGAAACAGCTAGAATAGCTACCAGGGTGATGTAGATCATCGGCTTGATGATGAACCTGTACATGAAGATCAGGCATAGATATACAAACATATCACTATTGAGAGAGACGAGGGCAGCCATTTCGGGACTGAAAAATGTATGTATTTTGAGACTTTTGTAATTGTAATTAGGACCATTGCCACGGGTACAAGGCACCAAAACAGCGTGAGACCACTAAAAACGCACCACCCACGGGGAACTTCTGCAACAGATACTGGTCACATTAATCTCGGGCAGCCTGGTGACGGGTGACAATAAAATCTGGCAATAAAATCTGGCCTTGGTTAGCACCGTCCATCAGTGCACAGCCCTGTACTTGCAGATCAGGACCAGTACAGTGCCTGATGTCTGCTGCAAGTCTCAGATCGCCCGGGGATTTCATAGAGCAGCTCTGTAGTTCTGTTGTTTAGTTCATCACGGAGAAGTGAAATATCATCACTTCGGAATATTCCACCAACAAATACACTATGACTTACCGAATCAGGAAAATGTACAGAAAGCAGAGGACGAGGATGACAGCAAAACCTCTGAAGAAAACATCCGGATCAAAGCAAAAGATCAACTTCATACACTAAACGTTTCTCCCCGCATAACTGTAGAATTTGGGAAAGGCCCAAAAAATTGCACGTACATGTAGCTGAAAATCTGCAGTTTAGAAATGATGTCATCTGCACAGCTATACAGACTGATAGAATAAACTTGAACATGTCAAGTGCGAGAAACTCACCCAAGCAGCCAAGGCCAGATCTGTCCCATATCTGCCCACACCTGCACGTTGAGACAATAGGAGCAAGACGTCCAAAATAAAGTGGGGATGAACTTAAATGGAAATCCGGTGAAATTGAAGATCTTGGGGTTCGTAGAGTTTTACTCGCTGAGATGATTGCTATTGGCTTGAGGAGGCTGGGATGCAGCATTCATCAAATATTCCCAATTAAACGCAAGGGCACATTTTAGCTCATCCAGTGATGGCGTCAGCAAGTGCAACCAGATAGCCACACAGGTAGGTATAGTGCAATGGCCGACGTTCGGACTGTGTTCAAGTTGGGAAACAGCTCATCGCCAGCCTCTTCCGACCAAGGCCCGTATTTAGCATTCTGAAAAGTTCACTTATGCTAGTCTACAGGGCATTCTGTTCTTTAGTCTTCTACACGTGTGCACTTGGTATTATATAACCCAATACTAGTTCAATCTAACAATATACGTTTACACTTCTGCCAGAACTGGGTGACTGTGTTCTGCTAGATGAGGACTTACAAGTAAGCCTTGTTTGGTAACATATTGATTGGTTGACAGCATGTTACAAGGCGGAGGACGCACCTTGTTGAAAACAGTGCTCCAGACTACAACCATCACTGGTTGGCAGAGCCCCGGTCTTGCCGCGACCATTTGAACCGTATGGGGTCTACTACGAGCGCATCGCTCAACTAGAGCTGTTCAGGCGCCCGTCCGTTTGGACTTGCAACAATTCTATCATAGCTACGTTAGATCTGCTGTTTTATTTCCGTGTTTACAGCTATATTTCGCCATGTCTTGTGTTACTGTTTCTACAGGTGATTTGTTATAAGTTTTGTTATTGTTTACTTAGTCTTTGTTTCATCTAGGGTTGGATGGATGTGATATCCATGTACATGTCTCATGTGTCGACGTCACTAGGACTAACAGGCTTGAGGTGTGGTCAGCATGCAACTTAAACATTTCAACAGACTACTTGGACAAGGAAATGTTTCACGCAGATCACCTTGCAATCCAAACAACATTGACCGCAACAGAAAGGGACATGGTTGCCATTTAACGTACCTCTTCAGCCACGGAGCGCAAGTTGAGGAATCTTGCCAAGGATCTGCAGAGGGCCACGCAACAACAATATTCTAAATCTACTCAAGTTATTCGTCTCATGTCAACGCATTCCACGGGTGTGCATACCAGCATGACATTATATTGATTCTTGAAGGGCGTGCAAGCAACGTTCCACCACGCAACGCCATTCCAAGATTTTACCACTGCTGTTGCTCAGTAAACCGAATGCCGTATTGTTACGGGGTATTAGCTACACCAGTGTGTGGGCTGAACTTGGTGGCAAGATGTGTTTAATCCACATAAAAGTGATGTATGGCCAACAATCGAGGAAATTTCGGAGCCACATCCAGCAATCGCATGTCACATACATTTAAAATCAACATATTTTGAGAACCGACCTTTTTTCAGCATCACTTTTATGAGGACTAAACAAATTTGGCCGAACAAAGCCTTGAGGAAGAGAGAACCACCCTCTCCACTTCACCGTCACCCTCCAGTCTCTCCGGAGGCGTGGGTTCGAATCCCACCGCTGCCACCAGTGTTAGCTCCCGGCTAAACGCAGTCCCCTCATACTCGTAGAACACAGGGTTTCGTAGTATTAAATAAGTACCGGTATATGAAAGAAGTATTAGACTTAGACAAGAGTGTAGACAAGAGTGAGACGACAGACTAGAGAACCAGTGGAGCATGCGCTCTTCTGTACTTGATGGGATCTCATTGCTATGGTGAAGGAGCGAGAAATACTTCAAATACGAATAGTGAGTACAGAGTCTTATTTTAAATACACCTGTTACACTGACATAGGCCGAAAAGGGTCAATATAGCATTGCCCATTTCAGTCAACTATGACATTTCTCGTTGAAAGCCTACCTTATTCCATCCGTGACCCCTTGTCCCCCTATGGTAGTGCCATTGGCAGTTGTCAGGTCAGTGCCGCCGTCATCTTGGATGGTGGCGTTTAGCAAGCTGATAAAGTCGGCTAGGACGGGCACACACCGCCCTAGAACTACAGTTTACAAGACAAAGATTCAGAAAAGAAACACGCACCATTCACAATAATTATTACCGATATAGTGGACCCTTTATAATCCGGCATCATTTGTGCTAAGGAAATTCTCCTGGATTAGGGAGAGTGAACGGGCATAGACCTCGGTCCTACCGGTAGGACCATCATACACAGGCATACTGCACGGCCTCTGTTTCAACATTGACCTAACACCTGACTCTAAATCAAGTGTCAGACTTGATCGTACATGTACAAGGCATATTGCAAAATACCATGGCAACAGCTCATAACGGAGTATGGACTTTTGCACTCTGGCGCCATGGCAGGCTAAGAAAGACAAAAAGCCCTCACCACGATCAATGTGCCATGGTCAAAATTCACTTTGGACATACTTGCTAGTGCTCTGACAGGAGCATTGAGTAGACGGTGAACCTCTTTCAGTAGTCTATGTATGGTGTTATGGCAAATCACTGCCGCTAGCCTTTGGGTGTCATTACGTTCATGGTAATTCCAATGCATGCCCGCATCAACGTGCCCTTCTTTGGTGTCAGTTATGCTGTGTGCACGCGTAGAGGTGATACATTTATTGTTCCTGTGTGGACCAGTCTAATCATAATTATTCCTGGCTGTTCTTTTGTGCTATTCATGCTATTCATGATGCATGTAGTAGTAGTAGTGCATCGTGTTGTGTTGTTATGCATGTCTCATGTGCCGTTTCCCGCGCGCGCGTGAAACGGACTTCGCGGCTTGTAGTTTCTGTGCATAATTAGTTGAGTCGGCGTCTTGTTGTTTGGACTGGAGACTACACCGAGTTGTGTTCTTTTCGTTGTTTCAGTCAGTTACAGCTTGCAGTTATTCCTCTCGTGTAGTTCAGTTGCTTTGCTAGTGTCTCATCCTGAAGTAAAGATTATTCGTTATTATCTCTGTGAGTCAGATCCCTCTCTCGTCTAATGGTAGCAGAGGATGGTTATCTTCACCTAGTCGGAAGTCCATCGGAGCGAGATGTCTGAACACAGCGACGATATCAGTCACGAGCGGAACAGGGTCACGGTAGGCGATGATGTTGGGCCTGGCGATTATGTTGAGCCTGGCAATTATGTTGAGCCTGGTAATACGGACGGCCAGGAAGAGCAAGTCGACGATGCTGTGACCTCGGCATCTGCAGACATGAGAGTGGCAAAAATTCAAATGAAACGGCGCTTGACGTCGCGGCGACGAGGCTTGATTTTGCAGATCCGTGACGAGAAGTTGAGTTTGGATGCCGTGAGAGACGAATTCGAGGCAGTGCAATGGTTCGCCAACGAGGTGAATCAGGTGTTGGAGTCACTGGTGACGTGTTTTCAAGCCGAGAAAAAAGGCAAAGCAGTCGACGCAGCAATAACGGAGCTGGAGGAAGTGGCAGAAGCAATGGCGCACCTGGAGCAGCAGGTGGAGATGTATGAGGAGCAACAACATATTCGTGCGCGTCATTCCGCAGGGTTCAGTCAGTACCACCCTGTTATGCCATCAAGCTTTAACGCTGCTCACGACCCATTTGGTGGGGTGTCAGGAACTGCTCAGTCTGCGAGTTCTGCACAGTCCGCTAGACCGTCTTCCGCGCCTGGTGGCGTCAGTGCGGACTTCACTCCTGTCACAAGCAACACGGACACATCTGCAGCAAGCAACACATTCAGCACCAACAGGCCTGTCAGTGCCAGTGTCTCAAGTAAAAGCGCAATCACCTCACTTTCTTCGTCTGTAGGTGCACCCACAAGCTCCAGCTCTACTCCACCAGCCAGTGTGAGTGCAGGGAGCAGTCACCACTCCAGTTCTAGTACCAGTAGTAGCCATAGCATCAGTTCCCGCACAAGTAGCAGTGCGCCAGCAGCAGCAGCAGCAGCAGGACCCACAGTGCCACTGAGTCTGGCCAGCAACACCAGCGCACCTGTAGCTGTACAAGCGACCAATAGCAATGTACTGCCCAGGCAATCAGCCCCTGTTCACTCCAGCAGGGTACACACAGCAGTCATGAGTGGAAGTAGCCAGAGACCAGCCCATACATTACACCAGTCTGTGGCCGCCGTCCCATTTGTACCTAGAGCCAGTTTCAGGCCTACACAGAGTGTGGCACATGGCCATGGCGGCAGCTACAATGGTCTACCAGTACCAACTCCATTGAGACCATCTAGTTTTGCTGCACCACCAGCTGGAGCCACAGACGTCTTCAGCAAAATGAGAAGCATTTCAATACCCGTGTTTGATGGTGATAAGCGTGCCTATGAGTTATGGAAGGCCGCGTTCCTGGCGTGCGTGGACAGTGCGCCAATCAGCCCAACCCTGAAGCTGTTGCAGCTACGACAGTATGTAGCGGGAGAAGCGCTAAGATGCATCGAGCGGCTAGGGTACGCCCCGGACTCATACCACAAGGCAATGGAACGCCTGGAACGGAAATTCGGAGGTACGCGGCGCCAAGTGATGGTGTACTTAGATGAACTGGAACGATTCAAGCCATTGCACGGAGATCGAGTCAACGCACAAGATCTGGAACAGTTCTCAGATTTGTTGGAAGTAGCCGTGACCAACTTGAAAGCAGCGGGTCGCCAATCGGAGCTAGAGGTGGGCACTCTGTACGCGCGAATCCAGCAGAAGCTGCCAGAAGACCTGCTGACAAGATACCATAGGTGGCTCTATGAGCATCAGCGCCCAGAAGGGGTGGAGGCGTTGCTCGAGTGGGTCAATCTCGAGGCCGACTTTCACATTACCGCCAATGAAGCCATCGCAGGCCTAGCACCTGGTCGCCATAGACATGGCCGAGAGCGCCCAGCAGCCCGAGGCCACTCATTCCATGCAGCAGAGTCACCCAATCCGACACCGGCAGCGTGTCCAGTATGCTCCCAGGACCATCAAGTGTGGACATGCAAAGAGTTCAAGGAAATGGATGTGGACAAGCGTTGGAAAGTGGCGAAAACACATCGGCTCTGCTATCGCTGTCTGGGCAAGGGCCACCGAGGTGCTGACTGCCAGCGGAAGAGAAAGTGTGGCGTAGACAAGTGCAGCGATACCCACAACTATCTGCTTCACAGGGCAGTAGCCATTGACAAGTCTAGAGCCAGCAATGGCACGGAAAGGGGTCATACCAGTGAGACAGCCAGAACCACAACCACTGCTAACATCGGAGCAGGCGCCAGACCGTTGTCACTGAGAACCTTGCCGGTCGTTTTACAAAACGGTGACCGCAACCTCAGGGTGAATGCGCTGTTGGATGATGGGAGCACCCAAAGTTATGTGAACACAGAGGTAGCGGACCAGCTCAACTTGCAGGGACCCATGAAACGGGTTTCGATCAGCACCCTCAACGGAGCAGTGGAGTCTTTCGAGTCAATGCCAGTGGATCTGCTGGTAGAGAGTGTAGATGGCAAGTTCATCAGTCCGTTCTCAGCCATCACAACTAGTCACGTCACAGGCACACTGAAACCGTACGATTGGACCGTCGAGTCAAGTCAGTACCATCATCTGCTGGACATACCCTTCGAACAGCCAGCAACTCGCCAGATTGATATGCTGATTGGCCTGGATCATGCCGAGCTTCACTACTCTCTGGAGGAGGTGAGGGGTGATCAGGGAGAACCGGTGGCGAGGAGAACTGCGCTAGGTTGGACCTGCGTTGGACCTGTGAGTGGAAGCTCAGATCATCACCGCACTCACTTCAGCAGAGTCGATGACGGTAATCTGGAGATGCTGGTCCGGCGTATGTGGGAGGTGGAAGAGCCTCGCCGACAGAGCCCGCTTGCAGCAAATGACCGACAAACTCTTGCAGATGCAGAGGCAGCAACAAAGTACTGCAACGGCAGGTACACCGTCAAGCTGCCTTGGAAGAGAAGCCCGCCAGAGGAGAACGGTAGCTACGAGATGGCACTGAAGAGACTGCGCTCGACAGAGAAACGCCTCCACAAGGAACCAGAAGTAGCAAAGGAGTACTGCCGTGTACTGCAGCATCATGTGAACGCTGGATACGTGACTGCAGTAAAGCTCGAGTCAACAGGTGGTTGGTACCTCCCGCACTTTCCAGTCACCAGACCAGATGCAACAACAACTAAAGTGAGGGTGGTCTTTGACGCATCAGCCAAATGCAAAGGAGCAAGCCTGAACGACTACCTCCACCCAGGACCGAAGCTGCAGAGAGAGCTACCGCACATATTGCTGCGATTCAGGGCAAAGCCAGTTGCTATCGTGGCCGATGTATCAGAGATGTACCTCCAGATCGAGCTGTCTGAAGATGATCAGAAATTTCATCGTTTTCTGTGGCGGGACTTGGATGCGTCAAAGGAGCCAGTCGCCTACCAGTACCAACGGGTGGTGTTTGGCGTGAATTCGTCCCCATTCCTAGCACAAATGGTGTCTCAGAAACATGCTGAGCAGCTAAAAGAAGATTTCCCACGTGCTGCAGAAGCGGTGTTGAAGTCGACTTATATGGACGACACTATGGATTCCACCGACGATGACAAGGATGCCATCAAACTGTACCAGGACCTGAGTGAGCTGTGGCACCGTGCCGGAATGCATCCTCGCAAGTGGATTTCGAACAGCACCGAGCTACTCCAACTGATCCCACCGGAAGATCGTGCCAAGCAGGTGAATCTTCAGGATAGTATTCTGCCGTCAACCAAAGCGCTTGGTGTGCAGTGGGATGCAGAGACGGATGTCTTTACGTTCAGGTGTCGAGCACCAAGTTACTCAGTCCTGACCAAGCGGACCTTTCTGAAGATTCTGGCGACTCTGTTCGACCCGCTGGGGTTCGTCTTGCCCTTCGTGATGAGTGGCCGCATCCTGTTCCAGGAAATGTGGGTCGATGGTATTCAGTGGGATGAGCCACTGCAAGATGATCTACTTGCCCGAGCAGTGCAATGGTGTGATGAATTCGAGAAGCTAGAAGCCGTGGCTGTGCCCCGTTGTTTGAGACTGTCAAACACAGAAGCGATCACTGCCACGGAACTGCACATCTTCAGCGACGCATCGCAAGACGCATATGGAGCAGTCGCCTACCTCCGTCACAGCTACGAATCCGGGGCTGTGACCTGTCGCCCGGTGGCAAGTAAAGGCAAGGTAGCTCCGATAAAAAGCACCAGCATCCCGCGTTTGGAGCTGACTGCGGCGGTAGTTGCAGTAGATTTGGCTGTGTCAGTGGGTGAAGTGCTGGCTATACCCGAGAGCAGTTGGCATTGGTGGACGGATAGCATGAACGTCTTGTGGTGGGTGCGCAATCGAAGTCGCCAGTTCAAGCCATTCATTGCCAACAGAGTGGCAGAGATTCAAGCCTCAAGTCAGCCAGGTCAGTGGCACTACGTCCCGACAGAGTGCAATCCTGCAGATGTGGTTTCCCGTGGGTCCAGTGCCGCCAAGCTTGTACAGGAGGCCCAATGGTGGAATGGACCGCAGTATCTTCTCCTTGACAAGTCCCAGTGGCCGCCACCACCCAGCAAACTCACTTGTCCTGTCGTGGCCGAGGTGAGGTCCGCATGCAAGGAAGCCACAATGAGCACAGTTGAAGGAGTGTCACTCTTCACGTTTGTGAGCAAAGATTGGAAGCTGGAACCCAGGAACTTCTCATCGTGGAGAGTCGCCGTACGTCGTCTAGCCTTGGTGCTTCGCTTTGTCAGCAACTGCCGCACCCCGGTTGATGAGAGGCAAGTCGGCAGCTTGAGCCCTGAGGAAGTGACAGACGCGGAGCTTTCCTTCATCAGAACAGCTCAACAAGAGAGCTTCCCAGAGTATGCTCTCCTGAGAAAGGGGAAGGCAATCCCAACGACCAGCAAACTGGCTAGTCTTTGTCCTCGGCTAGATGAAGATGGAGTCATGCGAGTGGAAGGACGGACCCAGAATGCAGAATTCCTACCCGAAGCAACTAAGCATCCAATCGTTCTACCACGTCACAACTGGGTTACATACCTGATTGTCAAGGACCAACATGAGGCTGCGAACCATGCTGCTGGAGTCAACCACACGTGGTCCCTGCTGATGCAACGCTTCTGGATCATTGCGGGACGAGAAGCAGTTCGTGAGTGCGAGCAGAGGTGTACTGAATGCAGAAAGAGGAAAGCCAAACCTGTCACTCCAATCATGGCCCCTCTGCCGAAGATACGGTTAGAGTCACCGCGTCGTGCCTTCGGCCGGGTTGCTGTGGACTACGCCGGGCCATTTACGACAGTTCAGGGTCGAGGACAGAGGCGGGCAAAGAGATACCTCTGCCTCTTCACTTGTCTCACGTGCCGTGCTGTGCATTTGGAGTTGTCCTATTCCCTGGACACCAGTAGCTTCTTGAATGCCTTCGAGAGAATGAGCAACCGCCGAGGCGTGCCAGAAGAGGTCCTGTCGGACAATGGGACGAACTTTGTAGGAGGACAACGCGAGCTGAAAGAGCTAGAACAAGAACAGGCGGCGCTCCAGTTGAAGTACCCACGTGTACGGTGGCACTTCATTCCTCCAGGTGCCCCGCATTTCGGCGGCGTTCACGAGACCATGGTCAAAGCCGCCAAGAAGGCCATTCATGCAGTTCTGAGTGATGCCAGCATCACCGATGAGGAGCTTCAGACCGCTTTCTGTAGTGCCGAGTCTCTCCTCAACTCAAGACCGCTCACAATCCCTTCTGTGGATGCCAGAGACGACTTGCCCTTGACTCCGAACCACTTCTTGGTTGGACGTGTGGAGCAGTTCTCCATCGGCACAAGCAGTGACGATTACCGCCTACAACAAAGATGGAGGAGAGTGCAAGAACTTGTCACACACTTCTGGCACCGTTGGATGAAAGAGTGGGTCCCCGGACTAAAATCGCCGTGCTAAGTGGTCCGCCGAGGAAAGGAACATAGCAGTTGGAGATATCGTCCTGGTGATCACGGCAGATACGCCACGGGGTAAATGGCCCCTTGGAAGAGTGACGGAAGTGATGCCAGGTCAAGACGGCACCGTGCGTGTGGCAAGAGTGCTAGTTGGCGGGAAGACAGTGACCAGGCCTGTGGTGCGACTGTGCCCAGTTGTCACGGTGGGCGTCGCTGGACCTGATGATAGTGAGGACTGATTCTGAATCGCCCTAGCATGCTTACCGGCTGGATGTGTCTCTCTTGTGCATCAGTCGTCCGTTTTTGCAGCCATTTATGTTTCTGTACAGCTAGCTCATAGCTCGTTACGTTTCGTTTTCTTTTCTGATAGTTCATTTTAGTTGTATCAACGTTGATACTTACCGGTAGTTGTATCAAGGAGGGTGGAATGAGTAGACGGTGAACCTCTTTCAGTAGTCTATGTATGGTGTTATGGCAAATCACTGCCGCTAGCCTTTGGGTGTCATTACGTTCATGGTAATTCCAATGCATGCCCGCATCAACGTGCCCTTCTTTGGTGTCAGTTATGCTGTGTGCACGCGTAGAGGTGATACATTTATTGTTCCTGTGTGGACCAGTCTAATCATAATTATTCCTGGCTGTTCTTTTGTGCTATTCATGCTATTCATGATGCATGTAGTAGTAGTAGTGCATCGTGTTGTGTTGTTATGCATGTCTCATGTGCCGTTTCCCGCGCGCGCGTGAAACGGACTTCGCGGCTTGTAGTTTCTGTGCATAATTAGTTGAGTCGGCGTCTTGTTGTTTGGACTGGAGACTACACCGAGTTGTGTTCTTTTCGTTGTTTCAGTCAGTTACAGCTTGCAGTTATTCCTCTCGTGTAGTTCAGTTGCTTTGCTAGTGTCTCATCCTGAAGTAAAGATTATTCGTTATTATCTCTGTGAGTCAGATCCCTCTCTCGTCTAAGCATGTTTGGCCATTTTGACAAAATTAATGATGAAATTGCATAATATGCAATGCACTGGACATATTCTTGCATTTTGCGACATTACTTTGCCTTACAAAGACCTCATCGTCACTATTTTTCGCGAAAATTCTCAACCAAAAGCACGTATGCAGCGTAATTTCTTGGATTCTACCAGTAAGATGGCATGCAAACTATCATTCTGGATAGGTTTACAAATTTTCAGCCCATTCAAATTTCGGCCTCCGAGAGCTAAAACACATTTCGGCCACATAAAATTTTCGGCCAGCACTGCTGCTGACTGTCATGCTGAACCTTGCAAAACAAAATTTCGGTCATATTTTCAGTCAAATATGACCAGGCCGATGATAGCCGAAAATAAATATGCGCCGAGTATTTGTTGACTTTTAGTATTACATAAGCCAACAAATACAATGAGCTAGCTGATGGACATCACTTACCGCTTTCGCTTCTCAGGTAGTAAGGCGGGCAGACGCCATTTATGATGTCATTCGCCAATGTTACGGTCTGAATGACAGCGAACAGAAGAACAGTAATAGATAGTGTGACACAGGCATAATATAAACTATAGAACACGTGCATACATTGTAGGGTCATTAGTAAAAAATAATGATGACCTATACGCAGGCTATACCTCACTCAGTTCATATACACCCACACACAAATCCAAACTCAACAAGAAAGTTTATATAATGCCATGAATAAGACTATTATGCGCACTCAGAGCGGTATTTTCCACTAATTCTTATTCGACATGTTTTACAGACAACAGGTACGCAATTTACGCGTGCAACTTTTGTATTTCGGCCAACGGCAGCCCTGGGTCGTACTTCAGGGAGTTTTACAAGCCCGGGTTTGTGCAACTCCCTGTGGATATGTCACAGATATCTACTCACACGGTCAGTACTGTCAAGAGTACTGTATAATCATCATGTACATGAACGTTTTCAAAAAAGATTGACCTCGGCTCGATTATGGTGCGGGAGGGCCGGGAATCTCCATTTTTTTGGTCTCGCCTCAGGTACTTACATCACGTTGACTGACTGTCCTGCCATCCGTACAGTAGATATTGGTCGTTATGCTTTCCAGAGAAGTCACTCCAATGCGATTGGAGTCGGGACACGCCTTTACGCAAACCTGCAGACGTGCCAGACAGCCACAAAACATATATCTCTCGCACATCTCCAACACAATGCAGTCAAGCATGTGAATAGAAACCCGGAGCACAGCAACGACTCGTGAATACTATTGCCAGACCTTTTAGCCATGTGGATGACTACAACTTGCGGATATCAACGCTCTTCCCGTGCCCGATCAAGGGTCGGTATTCACAAGGTTGGCTGTAGTCATGCCTCTTCACTAGCTGAACGAATGGCTGCAGTTGCCAACATCGCCACGGCTCTAGTTGTAAGTGAGCGGAATGCAACAAAAGGAAGGACCAAGAATTTCTACTGGTAACAATTTACCCTGCAGGGTAGCTACACATCTCTTATTGGCAAACATCACAATACATGTCTTACAGTATCTTGCCTTATGTTGACATAGATCTTTAAATATTCACTAGTTGAGGGTATGTAAAAGGGGAAAGTCTGAAAAAAAATTGACTGTCACCACCAGGACTCGAACCAGGGACCTGTAGCCAGCGGTGCTCCAACCACTGAGCTATGGTGCAGCTGTCATCCCAGCAGAGACCGTACAATATTTTCTTCAGACTTCGAAACTCATGCTTCCTGTAAACCTAGAGAGGCTGGCGGGACACAGCCCTCATCGATAAAGCAACATTATTGACAGAGACGATCCATTCATTCGAAGCAGATGAAAAGGAAATGTCTGAAAAGCATAGTGAATGTGACAATCTAAACGTAACTGTCAATATACATATCTTTTTTGTACCGTAAAGTACCGCCAGAGCGCCCTACTAATCGTCCATTCGTGGTCGCTCTGGGGAGGCAGGGTGGCTGCGAGTGTGTGAGGTAGTCTGTACCGGGGTCATACACACACCTACGCAGCGACTGTCGCAGTGAAGCAACAGCGGATTGGCGAAAGTATAGTCCATGTTGTTCGTGCTGGCTGCAGCGCTGTGCACTGCAGTTCACATGGCTCACCGTACAAGTAAAATGTGACGCAACCCCAATGTTGCCAAAAACAGAGTGAACCCCGTACGACTTCAGTCACACCAGACCATACGACGTTTACTTTTATGGCCAGAAACGAGAGTCCTCTTTCCGTAATTCAGGGTGGGCGCTCTCGCGAGACGGGGTGCTCTGGCGGTACGGTGCTACGTCAGTGTTCAAATCACGTATAATAATAAATGGGGTTAGAACATAATACATTACAAGGTATGTGGTACTGTGACTTTGGGCTTGACTGTCACAGCTGTTGACAATATTTTGCACCCACCTGTGGAGTGGCGCATGAAAACAATTGAGATGGATCCAAAGAAGTAAAGGCACTGGCTGCGCAACGCGTGATATCGAAGAACAGCAGCTTCGGTCGATCCCTATGCAATACATACACACAGTGAAGAACACAGAAAATCATGTGCATGACTTTACTCGGTGTCCCCGTGCCTCCCATGATTATGTAACCTAACATGTACGAATGTACTTTGGGACAGCTAAGAATTTAACTAGGGCTTTCAACATTCTCTGGAAATCAATTGGGCTTTGCCCGCACAGGTTCGTATCCTGTTCACTGCGCCATGTGTCAAAAAACGCAAACACACGAGGTAGGGTTTGTGACTTATCTTTCAGAAGACAAAGAGAAAAGACTTCTTGTCCATAGCAAAGGACAGGCAGAAAACCGTGATGCATGTGTGTACTAGTATGCGTACACACGCGAGTGCAAAAGGGCAATGCGTACAACAGGCAGAACATATATGGATACACCAGGTACCAGTAAAGCAATGGATTGATAGAGGTTTGGTAAGGAGCTTTTAACTTGTTTGTCTGCGTGGATAAAAACACGTAGGAAGTGAGCCCCAAGTGCAGGACATGATCTAAGCCATCCAAGTGGTCAGTAATAAAAACAGCGTTACCTGTGGACTTACTTTACTCCCGGGCTCTGTCCACACATCCGTCCTGCAGCACAAACATAAAATGCAGTATAATAATGTGAGCTCGTGTTAAAGCATGCCAAGAAGACCAACTAACTTGGCCAAGCGGCTACAGTCAACCTCGGGAACAAAGACCTCGGGTATGACAACAACTCGTGAGTAACGACACAATCTTCAAACCAAGGGAACACTTTACTGCATATTTTCACCCTCACGAATAATGACTACGACACTTTCCCCACGCACGATCTAGGGTAGCTATTCTCAAGATTGACCGTACACTTATAAGGTGCCCACCAATCCCAGAGCACCAATAGTACCAGTACGACTGGGTACCATTTCCAGGCTGATGATCCCGTGTAGAGGGATCACTATCTGCACAGGGGACCACATGTCTCGACATCCTCTGTACAGTCGTCGGTTAAGACGGGTTTCAAGGCCATGACTACTTCTACAGAAGCCATACTATGTTTGTTCAGAAAGTGGTGGACATCACGTTCTGACGATGGGTGACTGGCCCGAAACGTCAATAATCTTTTCGACATCACTAATAAAAGAATTTTCATCTAAAGAGTGAATAGCAACTAAATAGAGCGGTTGTCAGTTTACAAACCTCCATTTTACATACTATGTCTGCTGATAAAATATACATTGCACCTCCCCAACACAATACCTACACGCCACACTGCGTATCAGCCAGGTCACTGCACAACACCACCATTATCTGATGTACTTGGATATTGCAACGCCAAAATGGCTGCTACCAACCATACATCATCATAGTTATAACCATCTGAGGAAAGGGGCGGTGTTTTCCCCAGAGCTGCCAAGTACAGTCGCTACATGATGGAATCAACAAGACAATGGAGCTTGAAGTACATGATCAATGTGACAATGGAGTAAACATCTTGTCCAGCACACCAACCTTCAGAGTCAGCAGGGTTGAGCAGCCGCTGAGGATCGCCATTGATGAATGCTGAGAGACAAACACGCCACAAAGTACATTTCACAATTACATTGTTATAGAATGCACCCAGAAGATCCCTGCAGCAGATTCATTAGATATTCTCCCTAAAGTGGGCTTCTTTGAGTTGCATACTACAGTAGTATGCAGATACGTCAGAGCTCACAGTTCATGCATGCTCTATGCTTCGGATATAGAAATGTCAGACAGCAACATACATGCGATAGATGTGTTTCTAATGACAGTGATAAATGATGGAAACTTTGCCAAAGTCTCACTGCCTGTGCTCCAAATATGTCATTCAACCTCATCTTTCACGTGCTCAAGTGGGGTTCCCCAAGGGTCTGTACTGGGACCACTATTGTTTGTCATATATGTCAGGGATGTGGCCAGTGAAGTGGATCAGTTTGCCGTCCAGGTAACCCAATTCGCGGACGACATCATGCTACACGATAGCAGGAAGGACAAGGTAGTGCTGTCACACAACCTGTCTTCAGCCATCACCCATCTCAGCAACTGGCTTGGTGAGCGCAACCTAATCCTGAATAGTCGAAAAACACAAATATTGTTTATTCCTGCCAATCGTCATGACGACAAGACATTGAATGTGCACTGTGCAGCTACACTCCTCCAGCAAGTGACAAGCGCCAAGTACCTGGGCTTGCACATCGATGACGACCTGAAATGGAACACAATGGTTGACCATATAGCCAAGACAGTGTCCTCAAAGATTGCCATTCTCTTCCGCCACAGGCAGTGCCTCCCAATGCCATGCCGCTCAACCTACTTGAGATGTATAATTTTACCCACATTCCAATACGCATGCAACAGCTTTTCCTCTTCCCTTTCCTCTGCACAACGTGATCGTCTTGAGAAACTTCTCAAGCGAGCTGTGCGTGTTGTCTGCTCTGCTCCGTTCCTGTCTCCAACTGCCCCTCTTTTTGAACGCCTCAGCATTCAACCCCTGCAATCAATGTATTGCCGCAAACTCCTCCTGCTAACATTTCGTGTAATTCATAATAACTGTAGTGTGCTTCTTCATGACCTTGTCACACCTCTGTCACACACCCGTCGAACGAGGAGCACAGATGTTCCCCTGCTTCTTTTCCCGAGGATCATATCTGCCGCTGCCACACGCAGCCCTTCATATCAATGTCCCGCTCTCTGGAATAAGTTGCCTGCATCTATACGATCACTGAAGAAACCAGGTCAATACCGGACCGCTCTCTTACCCCACCTGAAAAATTCACCGACTTACGTTGCTCACTGATCAAATAATTATGCAATCTTTCCTCTGCTAGCTAGCTGCTGTCTTAAATCCTACTCTTTTTTTCTATTTTCTTTTTTTTCTTTTTAATCTTTTCCTTACATTTGTGTGCCTGTTTGTCTTTAGTCGATCTCATGTAATAAGGCAACACTGCCTGTTTGTTATTCGACGTTAAATAAACCAATCCATCCAATCCAATCCAATCCAACCACAATTCCAAGTCGGTGTTACTGGAAAGGTGACATCTATCAAGTTCAGGTAGTTGGTTAAGCCCCAGGCAATGCTAGCTATCAATTTGATTGGGAAATGTACAAGTACAAAAGTACCGTGTGCCAAGCAAAATTGTACTTGTACATTTCTCAATCAAATTGATAGCTAGCATTGCCTGGGGCTTAAGTTAACCAACTACTTCCTCCGTTAACAAAAACTTCGTGATGGAATTTTGAGGGGCTGATTTGGGCACAAACTGCCGTGAAATGCAATCACTTTCTTGGCCTTCCCTGGGATGCCATGACAGAGGTACGATGCAAGGAAAGCGACCTTCGACAACAAGCCGAGCGGAATCGATGGTTGCGCTGTGGAAACATAGGTGATGACAGTCATGGCGAGCAAAACTGAAATACCACTTCTTCGAGGGGATATTGCGCTGCTCGGCCTCTCTACCACTTTAGCACTGAGTACGTTGGAGAGTGATAGAGAGCGATAAAACGGAGCAGCGAGCCCACACAATGAGCGAGTGAACAAGGAGCTGCTTCGATCGCACGGCTCAATGAAAATAATTCTGAACTCAAGTTCTTGTTCAACCTGCGCAAAGCCCAGATTCCAATGCTGATGACCATGCATTCTTTCAGAAGTCTGCAGTCCGATGCGGGTCTCGTGGCTAAAGAAAGTCGACTGGACTTGCTAGCCGCTTTCCGTTCAGTGCTGGTATTCATTAGAGAAAATGGAATCAGTTTGGCTGTGCCTTTACTCCTCGTTTCGCGGAGTTCTGGAGAGCGAAGATGAAACCAGGGAGTCAAAAAATATTTTTCACGACTCCCTGGTGGAAACGAGTAATCGCCATCGCGGCGGATCACGCAGCTTGAAAGCAAACTTACTTGAACGACGGCAACATCAAGCGGAGTGTGATCAAAGAAGCCAAGGCAGGGCTGACACGAGCTGAACAACGACTCGAGAGAGATGACGACTCGCGTACAGCAGATGACGACTCGCGTGCAGCAGATGACGACAGCGACGCAGGTCAAAAATGAATCGAGCGAAAGCGACGCAAACTGAACTCTCTGCTCATTCCGCCAACAGTTTTCTTGTAAAGATGCTGTACATAGGCTGGATCACCTTCGTCCAGTGATTTGCAGTCGATACAAACTGTTCTTGACCTGTTCTAAGCGTTTTCATATCCATCAAAATCCATCACGAAGTTTTTGTTAACGGAGGAAGTACCTGAACTTTATAGATGTCACCTTTCTCTTCTAACATTCGTACAATTCTACTTACCAAAAATGCCCACAATGACCATTCCAACCATGTACGCGAGGAAGAGAATCAGACAGATGATGTCGGTACAGCTTCTCTTCTTGACCGGGCCATTGAAGTTGGGATCGAACTTCACAGGTGATCCTGAACAAACGAGACACAATCAGGCAGGTCATGGCCAGCATGGGGCTCAACTGATAATTTGCCAGGTGGGGCTGGCTACCATTGTTGGATGTGGAGGAAGGCCTTGCATGAGGATTCCGCTTTTCTTTTTTCTCTTTTGTTCTTAATGGACGTATTTATAAATTATAATTCAGAGTTGGACAGAGGTAGGTATATCTTTTCTTTACATTCCTATCTCCAAACCCGGCCAAAATCTCATCAAAGAGTGGGTTTCACTGGTACATTGACATCACGATTGCAAGATTGCAAAAATGCTGTTCAATTGCCGGATATGAAAATGGTGTTTAAGGCTTTGCAGAGTGATGGGAACGAGCTTGTCACTTCAGCCATCATCCTTCATTGTGACACGGTTCCCAATATTTTTTCTAAAATCGTTAAATCAAACTACAGTCAAAGCAGGTTGCACAAGCATTTCTACGATAAAAAAAGGAGGTGGTGATCGCTTGTCATTGTAAACACAGTCATCTCAACTGCGTTCTCAGAGCATCTACGTTGACATGTACATGTATAGCCTACTACAACACGTTGCAGGTAAAGGCTGTGTTCATTTCATCCAATCCAGATCCAGATCAGAGATCCGCTGGATCTCTCAGAATCAATGGATAAGTTTGTTCAAACTGCTACCATGACCTCATTCCCATAGAAAAATGACAATGGAAAGGTACTCCAAACGATCACAGCTGGATATGAACTATAAATTTATGTGTCCGGTGAAATAAGTCTTCTGCGCAATCATCTTGCTTATTTCAATACTAGTAACTACTACAGTCCATTCAGAAAAGGTTGAGCGCTGGCTCTGGAGAGCTCCCGTGTTTGGCGATTTTGTGGTACACTGTGCAGTGACGCGCGATTCGAAACTTGAAAAAGGGTCCAAAAAGGCACCTCAACTGGGGTTCGAACCGCAAATGTACTGTTATGCAAGTGGAGTGAACGGCCTGGATTTTCATGGTTTTTACCCAATTCAGTGCTTTGGGGGCAAAACCTGGCCGAAATCCTATTCTTGTTATGGCTTGCTTTCTGGAGAAATAGACTTCAAAAACACAATTGGAAGAGCATTCCACGGGGGATTGCCAAAAAAAGGAGACGAAAACTCAAAATTCGACCCGTTTATGGCCAAAAGCTAGGATATCAACCTTTTCTGAATGGACTGTAGTCACTAGTACACAATTATGTGTACATGACATGTACTACAAGTGTACAATCATGTAGTAGATTGCCAAGAATGCTGAGCACGCATTGCCACTGTGTAATCTCACACTGATTCACAGTCACCGTGCAGTGACATGTTTCGTTTTGTACATGAAAAACTCCTTTCGCATAACAGACTATCAAGTTTTTGACTGCTTTTGTTGCAGAAAGCCAGTGTGCCAGGTCAGCCGTTTCTCCAGACCTAGTACCTCTCCCCGTCGAATACAATCATTCTATTCGACAGCGAGATAACTGGAGAAATGAGTATGTACATGTCAAATAATTGTCTATTACACGTATGTGAATGCAAGGATAGGCGTTCACAAGTAAGTAAAATGCGCTTGAAACAGTTGTGACAGGAAGAAATCTGGAAATGGCTGCCAACTACAAAAATCGAGTGGAAAAACGAGTCGAGGTCTCAAGTCGAGCATTCCACAAATTTTCTGGTATCGGCCACGAATAGGCCAAGGTTCCTCATTCCGGTGCGCGTCCAAGGCACTCGAGTCATAAGTTTTTCGCTCGCCAACGGTTGAACCTCTATGATAACTACACAGAATGAGTCAGGCAACAAACTAAAATGATTCGTAATGCAGTACTTCCGATCGCCACGACGATCGGGGCTACTTTCCCGGCGGGGCAGGAAAGCTAATGAGAAGTGAGCACACGGTGTGGCAGCTCTGTTCGCTCGTTCCAGTTCACAAGAGAAAGACCGGGAACATCATTCTCCGCACTATCAGAAGCAGCCTGCGTGCCTGCTGCCAAACAGTACATCTATCTACGTACATCAGTCTATCAGCAACTATTTCTTTTGCTCAAGATAACTCACGCCCGATAATGGATGAAGTATCTACTGCCCATCGCTTCAGTCAAATAATTCGGAAACATCACAGTCATGTAGAGTAGAAAGTGTAGAAAGTGTTCAGTGAAATCAATGAAAGTAATGTTGTGCTGTGGAAGACGGCGGAGCGGTACAGGAACGAACATGCATGAACGAAACAACACCAAACACAAACTGTTGAGTGGGATCTGCAGTCTAAATATAAACTGAGTTTTGGAACTGTCAGTTTTCCACTAACGTCTCGAGTTGGGAAACAGGCAGCCGCTGGCCGCAGTGCAAGGTGATTTACGGGCTCCTTTATATCTCCGGAACCCTGTGCTCCAGTGCAGCGACCAAATATGCTTTTCACACAGTTGCTAGGAAAGACCGAACTGTGAACGTGAAGCTCCTGCAAGTGGAGATTGAGAGTTAGCCTGCTGGCCTGGACGTAGACTCTACCAACAACTCACCGTGTTTCTTTCCTCCATCCGCATCATCTCCATCGCCACCACCGCAGCAACCCATCCCGCCAGACTTCTGCTGTCGTGCAACGCTACGCGGTGACTGAGCAGCGCCAGGATCTCCCCTCTCTATCGATTCGTAGTTCCCTTTGGACGACATGGAATGAAGATATTTTTTCCTCGACCCAAGCCTAGGGATGTGCTAGTTGCGCGCCTGGTAGCCTAGCTAGCCAAATCACGGTCGACACTAGCGACAGTGCCACTACACGGTCGACAGCGCTGTACACTGCTCGTCACTTGCGAGTAACACGGCCTACAGGCCCTACACCACGGCATAGGCATAGGCATAGATAATCAGTATCACTATCGCCGCGAGTATCGGGACGACGGTGGATCTACCTGCGCATCAGGCCTACAACACTTGAACAAGCCACCCTTTTCGTACAACTCAGTGTGTGGGTGGTACCCGACTACCGTACTAGCACTCAGTCACACAGTCAGTGTAGTCAGGCTCTGCAGACTGCATGCAGTGCAGTGCAGCCAGTGCATGCAGTGCATGCAGTGCAGCTCGCGGAATCACTCAACCGTCGTGAGCCGGAGGCAACCTAGGCTAGGCTGGAGTCCAAGAGGCAAGACCTACATGTAGCTCCTGGTGGTGCATTCTCTTCCATTCCGATTCGTTGAGTCTACGACTCGAGAATCTACTCAGTAGACCTACACACAAGCAGTAGATCTACAGGCTACACATACCACGGGAATATCAAGACAGGATATACTCTGTCTTACTCAGGGGGGTACGGTCGGTCTTCCGTTCCGACTTCAGCTAGGCATAGCAGGCGTGAGAGGCACAGTCAGTTGAGAATGAGATGCAGATAACTGCATCTCAAGCCCGTCTATTTTGGGCTGCTTAACAATGGCTATGTCAGTATGTCAGTACATGTATACAGATACTGTACCAGCAAGAATGTGGGCGGCCGCATAGTCCAGTCGAGATACCTGTCCTGACCCGAGCCTGAGGCTAAGGACAGACCGGAATTAGGTCCTTGGGCTGTTCCACTCTTGGTCATTTGAACATGACGTTTGCAGTAGTGTAGCCGTGGGACGGACGAGTTTTTAAAAGTGAGTAGACGTCTACGTCCTGCAATCTGCAGTGACAGGCTAGACATGACCTTCAGTGGCCCTAGTATATGACACAGTATGTCAGTATGTGCATCACTGCATGTGACAAAACAGGACCAAACAAAGAATGACATCATTCTTCATGGCCTTCCCTTTTTGCCTTTGCTTTGGCTTTGTTAGAATGAACTGACAGTCTGTCAAGGCATTGCCATTGGTATCACTCCACTAAGCAACTGAGTTACTCGTAAGTGTGAGTATTACGTACTTAATTAAGTTGTAGTGTAGAAACGGGTTCATGGCAACACAACACGTACAGTCGAGTCATGTAGACTCTACACTACTATGACTGTATAGCACACAGACATGGCATGCGGATTTGACACCACCACCACCACCACCAACAACAACAACAACAACAACAACAACAACAACAACAACAACAACAACAACAACAACAACAACAACAACAACAGCAACAGCAACAGCAACAGCAACAACAACAACAACAACAACAACAACAACAACACAGGCCCGTAGCAGCCCCATTTTGGTTGGTCCGGCAGGATCCGACCTCGAAGCTCCCTCCCCCCCCCCCCGAGCCCACACTCATACAAATGCCGGTACATGTACGTGTACAAAGTGTACATGATTGTACGTGTATGTACATGTAATTGTGACCATGCAGAGTAACTATAATAATATTCGCGGGATCCGCGTTAGCATCACTTGAATGTTCAGAAGCACACACGCTATAGCCTTCGAAGTTCGAGTGGCGTAGGGCTTGAAAAGGAAGAAGGATGTTCTGCGTGAGTCAGGAAAAGGGCATCAGCATGTTGTGTCCGTCCAAACAGAACTTCTTGAAGCCTATGAAGGCATAGCAACAGTATCTAAATGCATGTGATAAAAGAGCCAAAATGGACCTTTGGGGGAGGAGAAAGGACATTGCAATGGAGGAATGGCAGGAGGTCATACAGTACAGGACACGTAGTTCTACATGTATGTACATGACATGGTATTCGCTATTACCAAGGGTTATATATTATACTCTTGCTATTACCATGCACTACCTCTACTTACCGGTATATACCTCACTACTTCAACTTATTGCACACGTCATGGGTGGACATCCTGAGCTGCTCACATGTGTGAGCTCCTGCTTTTTCTTTTTTTGTTGCTTAATATTGGTCCGGCAGCTGCCGGACCTGCCGGACCGCCTGCTACGGCCCTGCAACACCAACAACAACAACAACAACAACAACAACAACAACAACAACAACAACAACAACAACAACAACAACAACAACAACAACAACAACAACAACAACAACAACAACAACAACAACAACAACAGCAGCAACAACAACTGCAACAACAACAACACGTATCGCCGTATGATAAGGACAGAAAAGAGCCCACAGTGCTGAACTTCGAAGGAAAAGTCTTCGCTGTGCCGGTGTGCCCCGTATCTCATTCAGGTTCTATGATGGTTCGCATTTCCATTCAGCCTCGTGCGCAGCAGCATCTGAGCTGCACAATCATGTACATGTCCCTCTCATTCTTTTAGATATGAATCAAAAGATGGTTTAACCCTTTATTGGCTGGCCCATACATTGATCGAACACCGATGTTCGATGGGGTAGGCATTTTGAAATTATCGTAACTCGGGATGGAAATGGAGAAGGAAATATGTAGGTCAAAGAGAAAACTCTCAGCAGCCACCTCGAACAATTTTCAAAGCGATACAAAGAGCGCTTCTTGAGTTATATCACTCGTAATGTTGGTCCCGGGAAATTTGCGCTCAGCGCGCGATGCGTGGGTCAATGACCGGGATTTTCCCTGCTTACCTCAGGCTACACCGATTCAACTTCAAAAGCAGGTTCCCGGGAGTCTATACGAAATTGTTTAGTTTAATACGAGCAACAGGAGTGAAATGGTGGATGGAGATAGATCTCGAGCGTGAGCCCAGCGCTGGTGGGCCTTCCCTGGCTTGCAGCGCTGGGCCACTGCATCCCATGGAGTCGCGTGTACGCTCATTGTGCTCCTCTTGCCAAGGCCTTTCCAGAATGCCCAAGATCGTGGAATTTGTCCAGTGCAAACTAAAGTTACGTCCAATTTAGGTACGGGTTTGGCGATTGCGTGGGCTTGTTTATATTTTAATCGGCCAATAAAGGGTTAAATAGTATGTGTAACTTAGAATCCCTCCATATCAGACGTACCCTCATCGCTATTACAATTCTTTTCAAATACATCCACTTTCAACCTCATATCTTAAACCTTTTTGATATCAATATTTCTCGTAGTGAACGCAGACCGAACAAGCTTGTTTTCAACTCTCATGGGAAATTTTCATCTTCCATTTTCTTACATAAAATCGGCAAATTATGGAATTGCCTTCCACCCAAGATTACCGCTTTAGATTCTGTTTCAGAATTTCGGACACAATTTCGCGCTCATTATAAACGGCATATATTTGCCTGCACAAGTCGCTTCACTAGTATATAAATCAATGATCATTTTCACTGTTACGAGATCCCCCCGATAGGCTATGCCTTTGGGAAATCCTTTAAATAATAAATATCAAATATCAAATTCTCTCTCACTCTCACTCTCTCTCTCTCTCTCTCTCTCTCTCTCTCTCTTCCTCCCTCTCCTTACCTCCCCATCTCTCTCTCTCTCTCTTTCTCTCTCTCTCTCTCTTTCTCTCTCTCTCTCTCTCTCTCTCTCTCTCTCTCTCTCTCTCATGCGGACCTTTACTCAAAATCACGGTTAACCACACCGGCCGGTTTGGGAAATGCCTAGCCCATGGGCCTAGGTTGTACCGTGTACATAGTACATGATTGTAATTTTTTTGTACATTTCAACACAATCATCGGTTGTTTTTGTTTGCACAGTGGTTTTCAGCAATGTACTTCTCACTTCCTTGATACTTTTCAATAGCACAATTTCGGTGTCGGCGTATACGCCCATGCCCGCGTATAAGCCCATGTTCTTGTATAAGTACACTGAAAAGTCCTTGTGAAACAGATAAGCCCATGGGCTTATCCGCGGGATTCTACGGTAGTACAAGGAAAGTGTAATAATTTATTGGTCATGGACAGGGAGTCGTAGCGTTATATTCGACTCCCTGGTCACGGACTCACAACCCCTCCTGTTGCTCGAACCAAATTTCACCCTATCAGTATCACTATCAGTTCCATCCACCCAGGGCTGATGCAGCTTAGACCTCGTATACAAGCGCTAGGTTACGAATGCAAAGGTGTGTCGGTCTAAATGTATTATCAGCTGATACAGTCATGTACAATAGACCGTTACCGCACAATAGGGCTTGAAAGTGCTACGTCACAGCATAGCAACAATTTCAAAAATTCAAAAACGGGATCCACTTAGATCCAGTTTTTGTATGGATCCAAGCACATTTCAAGCCGTCTTACTCACAGCAAGGTGATGTAGCCAGTGAAACTGACTGATTTGGCTACTGGGGGCGGGGTTACAACTGGTGGCGAAGTAAAAGTCACCCCTGCATACGACATGAGTGGGTTGCTATGCACCCACATACTGAGGCAATAGCAAAGTCACACCTTAAAGTGGATCCAAAATAGAAATCTGATGTCAACTTACTACTCCCTGGCCGTTTTTGACGTCATCACTTTCAAGCCCTATACCTTCCACTCATCATGTACATGTAGATCTACCGGTTCGTGGAGTGTGGTGACGGAGGTGACATTCCGCTTTCACCAAAGCAGGTTAGTGGTATCCCTTCTGTTCGGCTTCGTTCCTTCAGCAGAACTCATCATCAGAATGTCATACATTGGTAATCGCCAACCGAAATCCTTTGACTGAGTTCCTTCGAAGTAACCTTTGAAGTGTGAAGACTGGAGACACGGAGTGGCTGTCCACGAGTCGACAGAACACGCTTTACACCTAGCACCTTGCGAAGTTCACACCTTGAACATTGAACAGCCGAAGTCTCGCTCCTAACGCTTGATCCTGGACCTTGGGGTTGGCTCTTTGCGCGCTTCATAGCAGTTGTGTCTTTTCGTTCCTTCAGTTTGTAAGTGGAAGCACTGGCAGGCTACCCACCATTTCTTGTCGAGGAGTCTTTGTTCTCTGTTCGGATAAAAATAAGAAGTAAGCAGGAACAGATAATCCATTTCCGAAAGCAAATTGCTACTTGTGGTTCTGGCTTCACGGCAAAGCGGTTCCGCCATTAGCTGCAGATGATGTACCAAAATAGTCTGTGCGTATTTTGGAGTGGGCAAGAGGGCAGTGAAGTATTATTGCTTATAGCTTACCGACCACTTCCGACGACAGCTTGAGGCGGCGTGATGGGATGAAGCAGTGCACAGGTATGTGGTAAGCGTGGCTCAAGGGCTTCGAATATCACTGGCTGACATTCTCGACGGTCAAGTTTTCCTCAGATATATTTCCGTTTCCAACTCCTCCAAACTACAGAAGACCTTGCATGGTCCCTGACATAAAGCATTACTTCATTAGAATTCTCTGCTCTCTTCTGCTTCTTTGAACTTGAAGGGGAAGTATGGTCTAAATTCAAATTTCACTACTCGTAGTCTTCGGGGTGCTGAGTCTTGGGTCCAAGGAAGCTGAAAGGCTTCATCCTACCTGTACTGCTTTTTTTTTGTAGGTCTACATTGTACTGCAGTATTTCAAAATTTATTGAACTCGCGCACTTCCCCGAAACTGGGTGAGTGCGCCCTACTCTATGGGGGGTGGGGGGGGGGGGGGTAACGAGTGGCATAGCCCTGTTCTGCCATAGTGGCTGTTGGATGCCATCTTGTTCAATGGTGGACGTCATGCTGGGTACGATGCGGTAGCTGGTCTTCAGCATACATGTTTTTCGGTTGAAAATCTTGGTGTAATTTAGGATGAAGGGAGTGTCTCAGCTTCCGCAGACCAAGACCATTCGACTCTGCACCGCAACGACATCATGTAAAAGTAGTGAAAGTTATGTCTTTTGACGGCTGAGCGTAGCGAAAGAGTGCAAAAAACGAACGTTTCACGCACAAACATTTTTGTGCATTTGCTCTTGTTCTGCGCAACTCCATTGAACCTGCCATCGTGGTCGTGAACTGAACAGTTGCTTTGTGAGTGAAAACACATTGGTAATAGGCCATGCTTCCCCGTAAATAATAGGATTGATTGTATTGGAGGTGAAAAGTACTTTGTATGCAGGGCTCTGGCCAACGGGGGTTAGGGCAGCGCCCTCCTCCCCCCCCCCCCCCCCCACCTTACTCTGATGGTGCCCCTTCTCATTTTCAATTTTGTGGTTTTTTCAGTTCACACAGCGAAAATTCGGCCACAAATCGATCATTCCGGGTGTTCTCTGTGCTAATTGTTGTTGTTTGTTTATTTAGAGTGGAAAAACAAAAAAACAGGCAAATTTGCCTAGTTACATGACAGTATCGACTAAAAAGGAGAATAAAGTGTAAAAGGCCAATGAAGGTAATGATACTGAGTAGAGTGGGTAAAAAAGTATTAAAAGCCAGTTAGGCCAGTAAAGGAAATGATAATAAAGCGGGCAGTGGCATTACTGAAAAGCAGCATGTGCTGGGAGGGATCGCATGAATCTGTGGTACTGTGGGATTTTCCTGATGTTGGGCTGGAGCCTGTTCCACAGTGATACACATTGGAATGAGGCAGAATTTGTGCCTACTAAATGTGTTGCATCTTTGTGACAAAGCAATATTAGAACATGGAAAGGACGAGTGAACTGTGTTTTCTCTTACCCCCCCCCCCCCTCTCTCTCTCTCTCTCTCTCTCCTACATTTGTTTCCTGGCCAGGATACTGATGTGGTACCGGTTTTTGTTGTTTTATCAACTTTTATGTTTCTAGCTTGCATACAGAAGGCAACAATTGCCCCCTTCCAGGTCTGTTTCCAGAGCATGCTGCCGCAACTATTTTTTGGCATTAGCGAAATGCGAGGTAAGGCTTGAGCATGCTGGTGCTGTTCTTGTAAGTACTGCCTTTCATGCACTGAAATGTAGAATCCTCGACCCGCAGATGATCATCCATCGTGCGCATGGTGATAGACTTATCAGTGTACTGGATTGCCTTGATACCGTGTCTGGTACGTATCATAAGACTGAACAGCGGAGACGGATGTTGTTTAGCTGTGACTTGAAGTAACTTAGTGTTGTGTCATGTACACAAGAGAATGAACACGTAGGTGACTTACTTGCAGCATGGTCGACTGGACTGCTACTGTGACTGGTGTACATGTCACAATAGGACTGTGCTCAATTGGGAACGAGGGCCGAACGCTGCCTGAGTACCGCAGCCTGCTTGGGACAAGATGGTCTGATTCATGGTCCGGCGGAGTAGATGTTCTGGGAGCTTAACGTTCATCCGTGCTTCTATAAGAACAAAGCGACGCATTCAGTGAAAAAGTTTACACGAATCACTATCTTGTAGGGCGCACTTACCCAGTTTCGGTGGAAGTGTGCAAGTTCGATTGGGAATAAAGGGAAAGGACTCGGATGGAGAGCCAAGGACTAGTTTATAGAAGAAAAAACGTAAAAAGCGTAACTTGTAGTTCCTTAAAGTTGGTTGTTCCAACGAGGAACACACGCTTCTTGCCAAACTTGACACTTGACTGACTCACGACTGTCACTCGGAGCACACGAGGAGCACGTCGCACCTTCCACTCGGCGAACCTGCAAGAAAGTACCACTCCCTGCTCAATACACAGTGTTTCGGGGAATTCACCCCTCATCAGTTGAGCTTGAGTAGGCTGAGGAAGAGTGTGCCTGAAAAGCAGCACTTATCATATACTGCTCCCCAGGTCGAACCATCACCAGGGATACCGTGGCAAACTTACAATGCTTTGTTTCCAGCACGACAAACACCTCGTGAAGCCCCAGGTAGCAGCGTGAGTCAGAGTCGCTCGTGGAGTTGTGCTAAACAGACGTTGAGAGCCAGTAGCTATTCACAACGCTGTCACCGGCTCCAACAACTAGTCACACGTCCACGTGAGGGACAACAACAGCGTGTGTTCCTCGTTGGAACAACCAACTTCATGACTAATACCGCCGAAGTCGCAACTTCTAAGTTCGTATTGTAATTTTTTCTTCTTCTACAAATAAAGGGAAATGTAGTGTTTGAGCTTTCTCAAATCGAGAACAGTAAATTCCGCACCCTGAAGACTACCAGTAGTGAAGTTTTGAGTATTGGTCCTACTTCCATTTTAGTCAAGTATGGAACATTCTGTGTTTCCCTACTTGTGGCATTCAAGCGTGGAACACATCCATGTACATGATGTACATGTATGTGGTCTCAAAGGGATATGATGTGACTTGACGTGTAGTTTAAAAGATAATAGACACCCTTAGCAAACAACGGTAACGCTATTTTTTACGGTACTTGTACCTTGATCACCCAAATAGCATTGAAGCCGAAGCGTAAAAACGTTATGGGGGCTGATTTATTGGCAAACAACGGTAACACTATTTTTTACGGTACTCGTGCCTTGATCACCCAAATAGCGTTGAAGCCGAAGCGTAAAAACGTTATGGGGGCTGATTTATCGTTGTGACAAACGGTACGTTTTTAGGCCAAATATTGCCGCGATAGAGCGTACCCATTTCACCTTGCATCGCGTATATGGCGCCGTAAATGGTTGTACCGCGCGAATTAAAAGTTGTACTCATGGCAACAGTGTATGTGTGTTACCAAACAGCAGCCTGATGCTTTCTTCGACTTTATTAGCCTAACTCCGGCCACGGTGTATTGTGAGAAATGTCACGTAAGTGTGTGTGTGAAAACACTGAATGATTGTGAGAAATGGCACGTAAGTGTGTGTGAAAACACTGAATGATTGTGAGAAATGGCACGTAAGTGTGAAAAAATAGATAGATCGAAGACACCTAAATTTGTCTTTTAAGAACCAATGGTGAGGGTAAGACCTCACTTCAATTTGATGGGCGCGAAGGTCGCGAGCAAAAGTAACAAATAGCCATCTACTACCTGTATCCCTAAAATTAATGCTAGATACCAGTACATGCTAGATACCAGTACATGCTAGATACCAGTACATGCTAGATACCAGTACATGCTAGATACCAGTACATGCTAGATACCAGTACATGCTAGATACCAGTACATGCTAGATACCAGTACATGCTAGATACCAGTACATGCTAGATACCAGTACATGCTAGATACCAGTACATGCTAGATACCAGTACATGCTAGATACCAGAACATGCTAGATACCAGAACATGCTAGATACCAGAACATGCTAGATACCAGTACATGCTAGATACCAGTACATGCTAGATACCAGTACATGCTAGATACCAGTACATGCTAGATACCAGTACATGCTAGATACCAGTACATGCTAGATACCAGTACATGCTAGATACCAGTACATGCTAGATACCAGTACATGCTAGATACCAGTACATGCTAGATACCAGTACATGCTAGATACCAGTACATGCTAGATACCAGTACATGGGGAGTAGAGGGAAAGCATCAGGCCACTGTGTGCTAACATACATTACTAAAGTAACGCCAGTTACTCACCCAACAGCCCTCTGCTATTGGTGAGAAGAAATGGTTGTGGAACTCAAAGGGAAGGGATTCTAGCAATGGCTACCGAGTACTGACCCAAGCGACCCGTATTGAAAATAGAATGAAATAATTGGATGTAAAACGCAAGTCAAGAAAAGTACTAGTAATGAAGTACAAGAGGAGCTGCCAACACCGAAGCATGCATCAGGAGAGCTTACTGAAGCACTGTGTCTGTGGCTGGACCTGTGACACCAGCATAGTGCCTGTTGAACACATCAGTGCTCTTCCATCTACCTCGGCACTGTACAACGGATGGTTCAATGTTGTTGCTTATAGCCGTCCTAGCTCCTGTCGGTCGTAGCGTCCTGGCGGTTATTCTGTTCTCCTGCCCGGAATCCTTCACGGCTTGCGTCAGAATGCGAGCGATAGACGCCGGAGGTAATCCCTTACAAGGCGCCCGCGGAGACAAGAATATTATTGGCTGGTCTTTAACTGTCAGCCTAGCTTCTGCTGTTGGCTGAATGTATGCTTTCAGTGCTCTGACTGGACACATCTCCTCGCAGGAGGCGTATTTGACTATCACGGGGTTAGCTGACATACCTTTGTCGGTTTTGGACCCATACAGCACGATCTCTATTTCATCGCTGGTCCATGTGATACTGTCCAGGCGGAACCGCGCGCAGGAGTCTCCATCCTGCCCTTCACTAAGTGTCGGTTTGGGCACACATGCTAAGTCGGAAGGTCGGCAGAACGCAGCCAAGGACAGCAGTAGCAGAGCTTATAGTCGGAGTTGACTCACTGTCATCTCATGCGGCGTGCCTATAGAAGCTAGGTACGTCGTTATCTTGCCAATATCTGCAATTGGAGTTGCCATCCGAGGTCGAGACGTACGAGTGCGTGATGTGCGCCTTGATCCCGAGACCATTGGTCGGGGGAGCGCACTTCACCTCACCGGCATAGCTCAATAGCACCTATGTCGTAGTCCAGCGGCCCGGAGTTAGGCCCCGGAGCCGCGGCACCAACATGACTAATCTACAACTATCCCATTACAGGCCGTGCAGTGGTGGCCGTAACTACAATTACATTATTAGACATACCGACACCACATCCACTCGCACATCAGACATATTTAGACATGTTCGGGTCACACCACACCTAGACACACACTCACTCGCTGCGCCATGCCCTCACATGTACAGCACCCGCATTCACATACTTACACACATACACACACACACACACACACACACACACACACACACACACGCCTATACTTTCACATCGAGACTCACATCTTGCGGTCAGACATAATATCAAACGATACTTATCAAACGAGAGGGAAGAAAGTCGTGACTTGCCGTAAAGACGAAGTTGCGAGAGAGAGAGAGAGAGAGAGAAGGAAAGTCATCGCAATAGTATCTAGTTGCGGCCATGGAAGTCCATGGCCACGAGATGGCTGGTTCCGCATGCAATAGCGTATCAAACCGTAATAAATATGTGTACGAACTGTTGCATAAAGAGCGGGAGCCATGTGGGGAAATAACAGCGTAGACCAAATAAGGGAGGCCTCAGGCCTTGTGTGAAGATATAAAATAAAGACGATTATGAACCCGTTTACGGGAGATAGATAAATAATAATACAACTAAATAAGGCATACTTGTCCCGTAGAGGCCTAAAAGGCACGTGCCAATCGTATGGATACGACACCTACACGCCCATTGTAGTCCCCTATGTTCTCTTTTTGTTGTTGTTTTTCTCTTCCATTCTATATGTAGGCATGTGCACTTTCATAAAAAAATAAAAATAATAAAAAATAAGCCGGTGCAGACTCGATCAAGCAGAGCGGTGTCAGGTGCTTCGCTTCCACGAAGGTCAGCCACAAAGCGTATCGCTTGCAGTTGCAGATGCAGTTGCCGTTTCAATTTTCGATTCGCTCTGAGAATAGGAGCAGGTCTTGTGCTTGGCGGGATAAGCACATGTTTTCGCTCCAGCTGGCGGCCATGCCAATATCCCTGTAGACTGCTCGAAGTATCATGCGGGCTGGCGCAATTGCCTTCGTGCAGGCCATAATTCGTCCTGCGATCTGCGCCACCAGTCGTACTGGAACGGGTCCAGTCGATGTCTTCGCCAACAAGTTCCGAATTGCGCGTCGGATGTTTCTGAGCTTGTCGGTCGGCACGAGGACGGTAACGTGGTGGCCAGCTGTTTCCATGATCATTCCCAGATATGATGTGGTCTGGCTGGGAATCAGGGACAACTTGTCCAAGTTGACGTTCAGCTGCAGCCGTCGAATCACTGCCATAACACTGTCGGTTATGAGGCATGAGACATGAGGCCATCAGCAACCAGTCATCTACGTATGCTGTTACTCTAACTCCCAGGGTGGATGGGATGTACTTGAGGGCC